GACACATCAATGCAAAATTTTACACGCAATTTCAGGTAATTAATAGACACTCTGAAGCTCATTTATGGACCACCTAGGTTTCTGCTCTAGCAAATACAAAGTTTAACAGCAGAAAAATTGGTAAGCTATCAATTTCCCCCTTTATCCCCTGAGGGCTGGCTCCAGGGCACACTCGGGGTACTGGGCATTGGCTGGACTCTCTTCAATGGGGACTCCAACCTCGCTGGAGTGAGATGCGGCTTAAGCCCCTCTCATGGCTCCTGCTGTGTGGACACCTACTTGTGTGAGATGCAAGGCCTAGCCCTCTGTCCTTGATACCTGTTTCTAACCATACATGCATGCATGCTAAGTTGCTTCAGCTGTGTCCGACTCTTTGCGACTCCATGGACTGTAGCCCACCAGGCTCCTCTGTCCATGGAATTCTCCAGGCAAGAATACTGGAGTGGGTTGCCATTCCCTTCTCCAGCAGATCTTCCCTACCCAGGGATTGAATCCATGTCTCCTGTGGCTCCTGCATTGCTGGTGGATTCTTTACCGCTGAGTCAGCCAGGAAGCCCGTTTCTAACCGTCCAGATCACTAATTCTTAAAAGGAGAGAAGGCAGGGATATGGGAGTGCAGTTTGTAAACATATATTCAATGCTATCATTTCATCTCTGATAGTGAAAGCAAGCTAGTCTTTTCATAATAGAAACGTGTCTGGTCGGGGATATGCCACATAGGACTTGAGTTCTAGAGAGCTGAGAGAAGTAGGTGGGAAAGTAAGCAGATTATTCTCTCTCAACCATGCTAAGGAGGTTGAAATTTGTTCCGAAGGCAAATAGAGGAATTACTTAAAGGCTCCAAGCTGGGAAGTGACATGACTTGAGACAGCTCGACTCCTTTGGCTGCATGGTGGAGAGAGAGGGTTAGAGGAGAACAGGCTAGGGAGTGGGCTTGTGCAGTGATTCAGTTTAAGAGATCATGGGTCTTGGATGCTGGGTAACAGCAGAAGGAGCAGAAATGAGTCAGTGGTTTGGAGAAAGAGATATTCCAAAGGTAGAATAAGCTTGGATTTATTTGGGGGTGTGGTAGCCAAAAAGAGTCTAGAGAGATTCCCAGGTTTCTGGCTTGGGCAGCTGGTAGATGGTGATGGCATATTGATAAGAGGATGCTGGAAGCAGCACTGGGATATTTGGAGGGGATGGAAATAGTAGATCCGAAATACATATTATTTCTCTTTCCATGCCTCCAGGAGATTGACAGAAAGCCCCTGGAGGGACGCCAGGGCTGATACCCACTTCCAGGTCTGCTGTCACGTTTTTCTGAAGAGCGGAAGCTCCAGCACGCCCCACTCTGGCCTGTCACCCCTCCCCTCTGCTATGTGAGCCTTAGCCCTTGCCCTCCCTCCTCCTCCTCAACTTGCAACCCTGTGGACTGTACCCCTCCAGCCTCTTCCGTCCATGGGATTTTCCAGGCGAGAGTACTAGAGTGGGTTGCCATTTCTTCCTTCAGGGGATCTTCCTGATCCAGGGATCAAACCCGAATCTCTTGCATCTCCTGCATTGGCAAGTGGGTTCTTTACCACTGAGCCACCTGGGAAGCCCCCACACAGTTGTAGCAGATGATAAATTTAGGAGAAAGGCCATGAACAAGGGTTTTATCAGCTCGAGGGGAGGATTTAATGATAACCAAGCAAGACACAGATTAATAATTGATATATATCTTTTTATTATGCACAGATAAAGGATTTAAAACTGTGGTTATCAAAACTATACATCTAAGCATGTTCACAAAATTGTTGACACATTGAACAGAGAAAAAGAGGACAACAGGGGTGCTCAAACTGGCCACAGGGATTTTCAGGGTACTCTTTTTACCCTCATAGATGAAAAACAGCAACAAAATCAGGCTCATTCAGGAAAAACCAGAAGAGAGAAGTATTGTATTTGGAAACTGATAATAGTCCTTTTTAGAAAAACATCTGTCGGTTTCATGAACAACCCCCAGCTAAAACAAACAGGAAAACAATAACACGCACTCGTCACCCAACAAAATGTGCTCTGTTAACACAATCAGCAGTACAACCATCACTCAAACCATGAGGTAGTTACAGTACAAAAAAGCCAGCACGCAGGTGCGCACCCCCACACACACTCACAACCACGCCCACTGCAGAACACACACAGGAAACAGGCCTACAATCTCATTACAGACAAGGAAAAGATCTTTTGTTTTGTTTAGAAAATGCTATAGAAACAGCTTTGACAGAAGGAATCCAACTTTTCAGATACAGAGTAATGGCTGGTACACACCACATGGTGAAAAGCTGCAGGGTATTATGCAGACAATCTGCCTTGGAATTTAGAGCATTTCAACCATAGCTTTAGCATAAAACAAACAAAACAAAATGGCCTCTGCAAATGAAGGGTGTAACCTGCAGCAGTAACAAGAGAGTTTTCAGATAGAGAAATTTAACTGGAATATAAAAACAGTTTTAAAGAAACTTATAGGATGTGTTATAAAGTAGAGCTTATACTTTGTATTCATTAAAACTGTGAAGTATGAAGCAATTGGAAATGCTATAACAGGAAGCTAGGGAGAAAACACAGTATTTTTTAAAATGTTCACTTTTTAGAAACATTTCAGAAATACTTAATGACATTCACTCTCCAATAACACAGGATCAGGTTTCATCAACATGAATTTCTTGATCTGAATAATACTTCTGGATAGTAAGACCCAAATACATAAAAGTTGACTTCTTCTTCTCTTTTAAAATCTCTTGGCTTACATCCATAAATTTGTAAATTAATTTAAAATTATTTATAAAATCATTGGCAATGCAGCATCTCTCTCAAAAATATACATTTGAATATATTACAAAAGGTTTTAAACCCTGTCCATCTAAGAATTGAATCTTTTAATACCTCTTAATAGTTAATTTTCTTTTTAACAGGATGGATAGGGATTTTTAAAAAGCAAAGAACTGATCAAAAGAATTCACAGTAACTGAAATTAAACATTTCATATGGAGTAACTTAAATTTATCTAAAACACTTAAATATATCTTTATACACAGATTTTTGTAGTAAAATATAGCTATAAGTGACTTAAAGACTCTAGTCTTCTTTGAAGACATCTTTAAACTTTCTTATACATAGAATATGCTAAAACAATACATTCTGCTGAAGGTTAGGCAAAGCGCATTATTTTCAAACACAGGTAGCGTAATCTAAGTCCTCCATGCTGATACCTTTATGTTAAAAATATAGTTAACCAAAGGCAATTTTTTTTTTCCTAATACCCTATCCTTATTTGTAGAAATCTGCAAGATTATCAATGGAGATAGCCTGGAAATCTTAACCCTCAATCTGTTTTGGTTAAAATCATCTTGATTGAATGTTTATAACTATCAAGTCAATCGGAGCAGGACTCTATGGTGGGGCAACAATGACTGTCAATCTCCTCCTATTTGCCTTGTAGACACTGCCCTCCAGTCTCGGGCAACACCAACATTTCCTACCTAAGGCTCCATTCACAGAAAGTCAGGCACAGCTTCCTTATTTTAAGAGCATTTAAATTTGCTTGTGAGTATTTTAGATGTAGAATCTAGCCTGTTCTATTTGTAGAATTCTGAGTTGTTTGGGAGAATTCTGGTAAAAGAATAATATTTACTGGCAATCAAGTTATCTTCAGTAGTAAGTGATTTGGCATGGATGCTTTCCTCTGGCATTGTTTTTTTTTTTTTAACATAGAGGTATCAGTTGAGCTTATTTTAGCTGCAAAGTGGCATATTATTGATACTCCATTTTAATAAAATTTACCTCAAATTCTTTTTGAGTCTGGTGATATATTTAAGGCAAGAAAACTAAAGCATCCAAATGAGTGCCTTTTCCCATATCTCATCTCTTTCTTGGCAGAACTGGTGACACTGTTCAGATAACCAACAGAAAACCAAGAGAATCTGCCATACATTTGCAACATATAAGAGCTTGGTGCTTACAAAAGAGTCTTTTAAAAAGGCTGACATGTTTTGCATGGAAACACTAATTCTCCCAACAATGTTTAAGAATAAACAGCTCTGAAGGTGTAGGACATTTTCTAAACGGGAATGAATTTTCTCTTCTTCAACTGAAAAAACAAAAGTGCCAAATGACATATAACATACGTGTACTGGTATATATCACTGTGCAAATTCCTCCTCAGCTTTACAAGAGAATTTTGACCCTGTTTACACATTAATTTAGTAGAGCACAGTGTCATAAATGGGCAGAAATCTGCAGTCCCAGATTTTGGCCATTTTCTATTTCTATATGCCTATAAAGAAATACAAACTTTGTGTTAAGACATTTTTGCAGTTGGTGTGTGAGTGTGGGGAGGAGGAGGAAGCTGATAAGGAACTCAGCACTGGTTTTGGCCCAGGGCACAAGAAAGGAATGTTGCCTTGATGTGTGTCAGGATGCAGTCTGCGGGGGGAGCACCCATCAAGCTGACCCAGCAGTCCCACAAGTGTGGCATCGAGGTGAGAAGTGTGCATCCTGAAGGTGCAAATCAGACATGGAGGAACGCACTTAGAAAGTCCTGAAGCATTTTTTGTTGTCGTTTTACATCTTGGTTCGGTTAGAAAATAATCTTTGGCCACATCTCCTCACTGGCTCTACTATCTGGCTATTCCTTTTACCAACTCCTCGTATCTGGGTAAAAGGCAGGGCTTCAAATTATGGATGTTCTTACCTGGACAGAGCAGCATTTTAAAAACTGGCATGTGTTTCACATTGAAAACCCCCAAGCCTGTGAGGGGCTGGTGGAGAAGGCCACCACCTTAGCTTTCTCACATGAATCTAGTATGTTATAGAAGTCCAGGGGGCCCGATTATGTCAGCCCTGGGTGGGGGTGAACACAACAGGTGATGGTTACACTGAAATTCACTCTTTACAAGGGAACCGCAGCTGAGCCTTCTGAGCCTGGAACCGGGACGCGGCGCGGCCCCCCCGGCCTGCCCCCGGTGGCGGCGGGCAGGCTAGGCCGTGCTGCTGGAGCAGGGCGTGCTCTGCGTGCTGCCGATGCTGTGGGCTGCACTGCTGTTCTCGGACGCCGGCGGGGATGTGGGCACTGGCTGCCTTCCTGCGGTCTCTCCTGCAGTCAGTACAGAAAAGGACAGACGCATGTTACATGTGTGCACTTCTGAAAAGACCATTTCATCTGGGGCTCTTCTCAACCACGGGCAGAAGCAGCCAGATCAGAAGGCCTCCCATCACGATGCTGTTTCTGCTTGTTGCCATTTTGTTTTGTTTTTAAAGCCCCTTGCACAGGGAAAAGAGAATGTTTTCAAGGTGACTGACAGACAGTTAATAGGGGCAAAGACCTCCTAATAGTTGAGGATGAATGCCTAGGATATCAGGGCCTACAACCTGTCATCTGTACTGTGTGATCCAACTGACCAGCACCTGTATTCAGAGAACATCTCCTCTCATAAAGGTATCAGAGGGTTTGGAGAATGAGACCTTTAAACTGTAACGAGATCACCTTGGCAATTTGGAGGCCTTTTTCTGAATACACCTGGTCAAAATGGGGGTGGTGATGCCGAGATTTCACCCTAGCTGTAGCAGAGAGTGCTATGTGACGAGCCCAGGACCCACACCTGAGAAACGGAGGTGGGAGGACCAGTGCTCAGAAAAACCTTTGAAGAAGGGGTTTAGCTGTCGCACAAGGGACTGTGGTTGCCAGGAACACCCCCTCCACCCTGAGGTTTGCAGCCTGAGTATCTCCTCACACATCAAGTACCCTACTTTTCATCACACACCCCACTGCATTTTAGCTAAGCCCATTCCTTGCGCCAAGTGCGCAGACTGTGGGGAGGGAGGAGACCTTGGGTCACACACATGGTTTGCATTTAGCACAGCAAAGAGCTCTAGAGCTATCTTTTCTTCAACAAAACTGGCCTCAGAGCAGCCCTCAAAAAAATGGCTCTAGGTAGGGAAAAGCAATCAAGGCTCTCCGATGACAAACACAGTATTTTCTTTGAAAAGTCAAAGCATAAACTTCATAAACTTCTGGTCAGTGGTCTCCCCGCTCCAATGTGGGAAGCCCCAGAGGGCCAGGTCTGTTTATGAGTGAGCCTCCTCTTTCCTGTCGGCCTGAAATACACAGCTCTCTGCCGGAGATAAGCAACCCTCTGGCCTCTTCGTTAAAACAAAACACACCAGCAAAGGCTCTGCCCTCCAAGCGCAGGAACTGGGCCCGTCACTCCTCAAACACCTCTGCCAAAACAGCAGTTCCACAAAACAGAGAAGCGGCTCATGTGGTACTGCTTTCCCTGTCACCCATTTAGGAACCACCCAGGGAACAGCACATATTCAGGCTTCAACCCCAGAGTCTTCACATGCTTGTTGCAATGTGTGGCCCAGGCTGTACTTTCTCTGATTATCTATTCTTCTGGGATTGGAGGGATGGAGAGGGAATTGTGGGTCAATATTTCTCAGAGGCAGAGAAACACTGTATTTTCATTCTTCTTTTTTGGGGGGCAATCTATATTTTGGACCCTTTCCAGCGCTGCCCTCTGCCCTTCATATGTGCATTTAATTAAAGGCGGGGACGTTTGCCCCAATGACAGTGAGTTTCTGCCAGAAATCCACTTTCCCCAGAGTGGGAACTTTCTTTCTAAAAGGAAATTAAATCTGTTAGCTATTCTGAATTCTTATGTCTATCAAAAAAAAAAAAAAAAAGCCCCAAACCTCTGGAGACTGGAACAACTCGTGATCAACTTGAAAAATTCAGCCCCCTGCCAACCCACATGTGGATCCACACCCATTCTCATTGTTATCAATTAGCAGGACTAATGTGACTGTTGTGAAGGACATTTTAAAAATACCTCTTCCCCATTTAAATAAGGGATACATCAGAAAAGCAGGAGGTAAGTCAACACACCACCCTCCCCACTTCAGCTCACCTGGGTTTCTGGCCTGATAGCAGCTAAACCAGCAAGAAGGCCTTGGATTGTCCTACTGACAGTGAACAAGTCTGTCTCATCCCGAATGCGACATGTGCATGATTAGTCATACTCAGGAAGAGTGCCAGTACTACGCCCTGCCCAGGAAGTCTGAATATTTGCTTTCCGATGTCTATTTGCCAAATATAATTTGTTGCCATGTCAGTTTATTTTAATCATTACCCATTAAAAAGGTCTTTCAACTTCCAGAGTTTTGGAAACTCTTGTGCTGCTGATACAAAACACTGTCCAAAATGAAACCCCAAGCAAAACAAAACAAAGAAGTCCCCTATACTCAAGATTGCAGGATCCATTTCACCAGGGTGGACAAGTCAACTTAACCCAATAATCCCCTGGCTTTGAGCCAACAGTGTGCCAAGGAGAATCTTTGTCTGAGAATCTGCTTGGAAATGTTGAAAACATCCTTTTTAGACTATCCCTTCTAGCCCTGGGTCTATTTTCACATGTAAGATGTGAAAGTTCTCATTATAATCAAGTTGTTAAAAAACTTTTACCTTTTGAGAAATCAAGAAAAGTTTTCTGTCAGATGCAAGTGGCACTACAGAAAAATTCACCATGAGAAACAAAAGTTTAATGTGCAGATGTTTCTGCTTAAAAAGCCAACAGAGTCCCTTAGGTTTTCTGAGATATGTCCTTTGGTTCTCTGCTCTCTAGCACAGTGACCTCTGATGTCTTAGAGCACTGACTTTCTTCAAAATATCCCTTGGGTGACAAATACAACCAGCCTCCTTCTGGAGAAGGTGGGCAGTGAGGACCGCAGGGCTACGCAGAGCAGGCCTGCTTAGTGAGTGCAAGTTCAAGGAAGGCCCTCTGACCATGGATTTCAAACTCGGCCATCAGAAGAAATGTGTTTAGTCTTCATGCTTTACTCCTAAAATCTCAAACCACGGAGGAAGAGACCCTTGGGAAGGAGAATGAGTAGGGAAAAGACGCATCTGGCGCATGTTGTCCTCAGGAAAAGGGTGTGTTACAAGGATTCATCCCACTCAGCTCACGTATTAGCCTGCAGCTAAGCCTCGCTATTGCCAGAGATGCCCTTAGAAACAGAAAAAAAACATATTTTAAGGGACAACCTGTTTCCTTTCTTCAGTTTAGCATTGAGCTGTTCAGATCTGATTTCCTGCCACTTTTTGGCAGTTTACAACTGGATTCTTATCCCTGTTTTTTTAACACGGCAGGTCCTAGGGAAGAAACTTTAAGATGTGAATAACACGGAGAAGCTCTATGGGGAAAGAAGAACAGAAGAATTTTAAAGAAAAGTGAGAGGAATCTCGATTATTTAGCCCAAAGCAGATAGTCTGCAAATATTGGCCACAGAGAATTATTACAGAGAGGAGCAGACAGACAGGTGTTCTTTATCTCCCTGGAGGGCAGAACATGAGGAAATGAGTTTAAATGGCAGTAATAGAGATTTAGGTCACACAGAAGGGAACTTGCTCATTATGAGGATTGGTTAGTTATAGTGGGAATTTGTGGAATTTCTTTCTTGGGAGATATTTAAGCATTGGATTGAAAACCATGTGCCTGGGGGTAATTCATACTCAACATTACTTGACACTGCAGAGAAAACAAAGATATTTCCCTCTGAGGCCTATGTGTTGGTTACAATTTTGTACCAATTGTCTCAATCTCTTGATATCCTAATTGCAACTATTTCACAAACTCACTCTAGTAAGGATAGTGAACTAGACCACCTTTAAAGAAGCTTTCCATCACTATTCACCATTTTCAAAAATTGCCCCTCCTCACTTTTCAAGCTAAAAGACTTTCCTTGTTTAGGCAAAACTTTGCAGGAGGGGTGAATTAGATGTTGTTATAAGTTACGGAGAAAGGGAGAAATGTTCCAAGGAAGGAAGTAAGTTCTTTCAAAATATTCTGCTTCCCACTTTCTTTCAATATTACTGCAATGTGACCAGCCTGTTTCACACTTGCACTTTGGTTTTCCATGGGCATCTTATTTGAACTCAACCTGAGCACTTGGGTGAAAAGAGTGGATCTTGCCTTCTTTCCAGTCATACAAGGGTTTCCATCTATTCCACCTGCATCATTCTGATCCCTGTAACTTAGTCTCCTGCCTCCAACTTTAGTCACGCTTTAGCTGATCTTCTTGCTGTTTCTAAATTACATTTGGGAGCATGGAGAAACTTTAGACTTCTACAAACATCTGAAGCCTCCAGCCACACTCTTGATTAAAAGACATGATTCAGGTGGACCAGGGTATGTGCTTGACTTCTGCTTTAAGAACACACTGTGTATTCAACTAAGGATTGTTGAACAGAAGCCTGTTAGACAGAAGTTTACTCTCTAAAGAGAATGAAACTGTGGTTCTGGGAATGACCAACACCAGCACAATTGAGGTTAGAGAAACACAATGACAGAGGAGAACAAAATTAATGCCTACATGTTGAATGTTATGACCCCCAGAATGTTGACAGCCTGATCTATAACCTCCAAGAAGGAAATAGGAAAACCTGTTTCACAGAGAACATGATGAACTCAAGAGGAAAGATACAAAGATGTGATATCAGGAGTTCCTCAATAAAAGGCCCAGCTAGATCACCCTAAGTGAAGTTCAGAATCAATATGTTTCCACCCACAAGCTCAGAACTTCCCTATTTTAAAATAATTCTATATATTCTCAGAGAGATAAGATATTGTACCCGTAAGATTAAGAGTAGGACATGTTTCTTTAACTCATGGGAAAAACTTCTTGGAATTAACAAACTTGAAGGCAATATTAAAAATGCAATAAGAAACTGAAAGATAAAAATGAAGAAATCTCCTAGAAAAGAAAGGAAAAATATGGAAAACAGAGGAGGAGAATTACAGCACAATTCAAGAAGTTCAACTTTCAAATAAGATTTCTAGAATGAGAGAACAGAAAAAACATGGGCAAGAAAAAATAAATAATCCTAAAAAATCTCAACAATAAAGGACATAGTTTCTAGACTGAAAGGCCTCAATTAATGCCCAGCATAATGAATGAAAATACACGTACATCAAGCATTATCATTGTAAAGTTTCTTCCAGAGAGGAAAAAAAAGAAACCGATTAGGAATCTGAATGACTTTGAATTTCCCAAAAGCAATCTTCAGATCTAAAAGTCAGTGAGGTATGCTTTCAAAATTCTGAAGAAAAAACACTTCAAGTCTAAAATTCTATACCGTTGCAAACTATCTATTAGTGTTTATATAAAATGAGGCTATTTTCAGACATACAAATGATATTTTCACACATGTGAAAAACATCTCTCTCTTATGTTCCCTTTAAATGAAGGAGGAGGACAACACAGGATCCATGACACAGGACATCTACAACTCAAAAGTATTGAGGAAAATGAGTCAGCAGAATACCTGATGTGTATGTGTAAAAGGAGATTGAGACAACTGGAAGAGTCAACAGATGAATTCATGGTGATGGTTTAGTTGCTAAGTTGTATACCAGTATACTTCTATGTGGAGGATGATTTTGGCCTTTAAGGTATGTACATATTGTGATAAAGCTAAAAAGTTTACTGAAAAATATAAATAATTGCTTTTGCTCCACCACTCCTTAAAAAAAAAAAAAAAAACAGATATAATATTGCACACAACTTTTGGGACCTTCATGAGTCAGTTTAGGGACTTTGACCTTGTTAGGTTCCCAGGAGCATGAAGATTCTGTGACTCCATTCCAGTACCATTTCCACCCTCACTGCCCCTCCTCTCTGCACTATCTTAGTGGAGAATGTAAGTTTTAGGAGATCTCCACAGTTCAAACCTAAGGCTTGGTTCTGCACTCTGTGCTGCAGATAGAGTGGAAAGCACAAAGGGAAATATCTAAACTGAGGACTATTTTAGCTACAGAGGCAAATGTTGCCTGAACCCCCAAATATACCATATAAGGTCTGAGTTCCACAGCTAAGATTATTGCAGAAATTGAATGGACTGAGTCAGTGTCTGTATAGACACCTCTTTCCATTGGCCACAGCATTATGATCTTTTCATCTAAACTTGCTGCGGCTGATCCAGCTAAGAAATGGAGGGGGTTCTCAACAGGAAGCTACCACTTGGTCCTGCAGTAAGTCTTTTTCTTTCTTGCACAATGCTGGTATTCCTTAGGACTGGCCTTTAAAGTGAACCAGAGGCTACAGCTTTTAATAAAGTCATTTCAAGCTGTGATGCTAACAGGTATAGAATCCAAATGACTAGAGTTTAGAGTCCAAGTGTCTATAAAGCCTTTCAGCTTCCAAATGAGCCTAATTTATTTTGCTGGAAACCATCACAGGAAGGGCTTTGGGTTTTTGTTTTTAAATCTACTTATAAATCTATTTCTATATTAACAAAACCTAAAAACTCCTTAAGTCTCTGTTTCGGGGAGAAGGGAACAGTAACAGCACATCTCAGAATTTAATGAGCAGCGATGCATGTCATAAAGACAGGTTTTGCTCTCTCCCAGGTTTGTCAGTGTATCTGTGGATGAGAGTCTGGGATTATCAGAGGGAATTCAGTGAGGTTTGTTCCCACAGTGACACCATTTGGTTGCCCTTTTTTGCCTCGAGCTGGCTTCGTGGCCCTCCTGGTCTGAGATCTGGCTTTGTGGCCCTCCTGGCCTGAGAGCAGATTTCAGAGTTTGGGAGTGTGGCTCCAGTAGCAAGGCCAGTTATGATCAGCAGGTATGTGGTAAGCATCTGTGGGTGACTACCTTGTAGAAATCTTCAGGGCTACAGAGTCTTCTTGGAGTACTTTCAAGTTCATTCCTAATAAATATAGCATAAGCTGCCAAGAGCTCTAGAACTTTACAGCCATGCAGGAGATTGGGGAAAGTTGCAAAGAACTGTGAGTCTGAGAGTTGGATGTGGCAGTACTCCTGTAACAGAATTATTCACTCAAAGATGCTCCTCTGCTAAACATTGTCCCTTCTAGTGCTTGTGTAAGCTGTTCATGAAGAACAACATTCCTAAATGGATTCACTGATGTCCATATATCTTTGGTCTAACACTTAACAGACTTATTTCCTTCTGCTCACATGAAACAGTCGACCCTTGGAAAATGTGGGGTTTAATCTGCATATAACTGATAGTCCGTCTTCTGCATACAAAGTTCTTCTGCATCCGCAGATTCTACCAACCATGGACCATGACAGTAGTATTTACTCTTTAAAAATAATTGCATATAACCCATACTGTTTAAGAGTAACTGGCTTCACTCAAAGGTTGTTGATTAGGAACAATAATCTAAGGACTTAAAGGCCTACTGTTAAACTCCTAAAATTTGCTTTGGACTGTGTGACTTTCCTGTGCTTGGCACCATAGGGTTCATTCTGCTCCTTCTACCATAATTTAAAATAACTCAGAGAATGCAGTATTTGAAGGGAAGATTCTGATGAGGATTAAGATATGACTTCTCAAAACACCCTTCCATACTTCTCTTTCCTTGAAAGCAGTCATTGCTTCAGTTTGGCCAGTTAGACAGCCCAAGGTAAGGCCAAAGATCGTGGCATGCACTGGTTCAATGGAAAATAAATGAAACTCTAAACAGAAAGTCTGTGCCTGCCGCTATCTGACTGATCAGTTCAGCACCTTATCCAGGTTCACAGTGTAAATAAGCATATAAAAACAGACATTCCTAAAAATATAAAAACACAATACCAGCTAGCTTACTAGACATATCTCAAAATGCATGTCTTTCCTTCCCATATTTACAAGGAACCTAAGAAAGATGTTATGAAACAGCAGTCTATTTGTTCCTTCCTCTTGCACTACAGATACCCCAAGCCTGGCTTGCATTCTGTCTTGGGGTCAGAACAAGTTTTCTTTCTGTTCAGGCCAGAATGTTTCTACCTTGGGACTAGGGGGTAAGGGGCAGGAAGAAAAGCACATCATAATTTGTAGGGGTGGAAGAACATACTTGAAAACAAACTGCTCTGTTTTACTATTTCTGTTTACAATTCATGAAAAAATACTTTAAAATTTTAAATAACTTTCAAGAGAAGAGAAGAGAATTCAGTGTTTATCAAAGAAGAGATGGTATGGGTTTAAAAAAGGTTGAGAAATTCTGGTTTAAGCCATTGATTAGGGCCTCTGGTGGACAGCGCTCAGCATCTTAGCAGATGTGGTAATAAAATCTTGGCTTCCCCGCTTACTTCCTGTCCATTTATATGTCTATTCTGAAATTCTCAGCTTTGGGTGAATGGTTTATGTTTCCAGTTTGTCTACATTAACTTTCTTTAATTAAGTCCTAACCACAAAATAGTTTTATTAGAAGCTAAACTTCAGCAACATCTCAAATACAATTAACATAGTTTAAACATTCCTTTTCTACAACTGCTTAAAACAAATTATAGCTTTGCAAAACCCAGTTCATGCCAAATACGTAAATGTGAAAATGGTGGGAATGAACTTTTGTCTCTCTTCCGTTCATTATTTCGTCCATTCATCCATGCAGAGAAACACCAAATGTCCACAGTGTGCTAGGCACACAGGATGTGTACCAGCTGACAGGCAACAGTCACACTAACCTGTGTGAGAATAGATGTACCACAAGGCCCCCGTCAGCAGCGCTCCAATCACAAATGCTGCGAATGCGATGCCCATCACGGTGAGGGTGTCCAGACCATGGAAAATCTCTATAATGATAAGAAACCAATGCATACTTTGAGTGAGTCAGCATCACATGCTGCAATTTTACATCCGTTTCACAAGTATCATCAGAAAGGCTGAGAACCAACTAACAAACTCTGAGGATAAAAAGTGGATTTCAACAAAATACACTGTATTTGTAGCTTGCAAATATTTTCTCAAAAGAAAAATGAAATTCTCAGATTTCCAAGATACTTTCAGTTTGCAATTTACTTTGAGCATCAAACTTACTGAAAAGTCAGATTTGTCAACTCTGTAAAACCTTAGGCCTCAGTCTGAGGACATACTATTTGAAGAGTAAAGGGGCTTGAAAGTCAAAGCTCAAGACGCCTGGGAAAATAAGGGAAACAGCCATTAGCAAAATCTGGCTTCTTATTCACTGAGCATTGAGACCCTACGCAAAATACAGTGAGACACTACACAAAAACCGCAAGCCAAATACTTTACAAATATACTTCCATGAACATTTAAAACATGAAAGGTAACAGGAAGGAAAGTGGTGAGAAGGAGAAAACACAGAATAAGAATAAACTGTTTCTGTAGAACGTAACTTTCACTGACCTCACATTTAAGCCCTCTCGCAATAATTACCTATTGTGTCATTTAACACAACCTACTTTTTAACACTTTTCCAACCATGACCTTTCTATGAGGGGAATGGAAGTACTCCTCCGTGGGGAGTGATGTCAATTTTATGGTCAGCAAAACATATAAATAGAACCAATTTGGCAAAGATTTTTACATTTGAAATTAATTCCAGGCCACAGAAATAGAACATTTCCTTTCATTTAAGAGAATTACCTTCTTTGAATCACTTATAAAAAGTAAAGATCAGTTTCTAAGAGAGAGAGGTTTTCAGTGGAATAAAATTTCTAAAGTTTTTCTCTCTGTTTTTAAAAAAATAAATTAATTAAAGTACAGGATCTCTCTGTTACTTCAATGCCGTTTCTGTGTTCCTCTCCAGTCAGAAGTGACTCCAGCTGATCTCTTTGTAAATTCAATCACTTTGCCTTTCAACTGTATCTTCAGTGTAAGATACAGGTGTAGATAAATGTGACCCCGGAGCAGCCCCAGCACTCAAAAGGGCTCAGGAAAACTGTGACATTGTGGAGAAGATTCTGAAGGATCCAAATTCCCAAGTTCTGGTTCCTATTCCTCTAGCCATGTGCCCCATAGTGTTCATTTAACTTCTAAAAAATGGGACAGCACTATCTTATCTTCTGAAGGCAGGGGGTAAATAAAAGGAGTTTGCAAAGGGGCTGGGGATCCCCTAGAAGGAATAAGAACTGCGAAGGACATTATGAAGGTTAGGACAAGCCAAGCCATCAACCTAATTTAATTTAGTCTGTAGGACAGATATTAAAAGATGACTTGTTTTTTCATGCCTATAGATGAAAAGTAGGGCATGATTAAAAGTTTTGAGTGAAAACACTCTAAAGTTCTAAAGACAGAGGTGTCATTTATGAGAATCACAATAGGGGAGTACAGGAGAATGTGTCCATCTGTGTCTCTTTCTGGGTTCATAATACTGTTCTGTGATATTGTTAAAATAAATACTCTTAATAGAATGGTTTATAAAGTATTTAGCATAAAGAAACTCTCCAGGCTAATTCTTATGTATACGTTATGGAATTAGCCATGGAGACTAAATCTGGAATGTCTTAAGGAGGAAAAAAAGTAAAGCTTCTCCCCACAGGCAACATTATCTAGATGAGTTCTGGGTGCACAGCCAGAAAGCCCAGGCTCTAGTCCTGCTTCAGTGCCAATTATTACCGTGGGGAAGTCACTGAAACACTTCTGGGTCAGAGTTTTCTTCTGTATAAGAATGAAATTGCCCCAGATGATTTTCAACATTATCATTTTGTAGCAGTTGGTCTCTCTCTCTGTCTTCCAAGTGTTCTCAACACCCCTTGGACAAGTGATTCCCTTAATGGTACAGCAACTAGTTCCTTCAGAGGCTGCTTCTCTGAGCAGAAAGATACAGTTGATGATACAAAAAGCAAACCACTCCCATAGCTACATGTTAAGTATTTCAGATCACAACCACTAAAGGCAGGTAAATGATGAACTTCTCCAAAACTAAGAAGCTACTACATTCCTTTAAGGTGATACATACCAATGGGTCAACAAATTCATATTTTAAAAATGGCAACAGTAGAGAGGAAAAAAGAAAGGGAATGCAGGAAGGGAAAAAGAAAATACAAGAAAAAAAGGGTGAGGGAGAATAAGAGCAGAAGTCTCCTTATCAAAACTCAGGGTCTGGCAAATGTTCCATAACCAACTCATTCTTATAAAAGCCCAGGAGGCTTTATTTCAAAACAGTTGCATAAAGACTTACGTGGAGAAATTGGAACCGGTTCCTTGATACTTGGACCTGTTTCTGAAACAAAAACATAAATCATGATGCATTCTACAGAGAAACCAAGTTCTAAGCAAGAGGTTATCAAAATCTCAGTAGAGGCTGACATTCTATTTGTGAGTACCTATTTTGTGAAAAGTCTGTCAATTATTCTATTTAGATATCAGATTCTATTTAGATTACTCAGAAATTTTAAGCACTGTAGTTTGTAGTTTGTTAATGATCAACTGTATACTGTCTCTAACCTGAAGAAAAACTGAAAGCAAACACCTAAACTTAAGGAATTTGAATCTGATAATTCATGCATGTGTGTGTGCGTGCACGTGTGCATGCCCACATGTGTATATACCTTTCTCTTTATTTACAAAAGGATGCAGTATCTTTAAGTATCATGTTTCTCCAGTGTATTTAATATTATTCCACTTTCAAAAAGTCTTTTAACATACACACGTATTATAAAAAGCATCTTTATTCCTCCTCCTAACATCGTCATCCTATAGTTCAGCTCCTCTTCATGCATCCGCATTATTGCAAAGCTTCTCTAACTGGTCTCCTGGTCTCCACTACTGCACCCAACCCAAATGTTTCCTCCCCCATACATGCCCCCAACATGACTTTTGCAGAGTCCAGGGCTGATTATGTTATTGCCCTGATTAAACCACTCAATGGTTTCCCTTCATTTACAGGAAAAAAGTCCCAACTCTCGAGCATGGAACGGAGTGAGCTGCCTTCCTCTGCCCACCTCTCCAGCCTCCTTTCCTAGTGGTTCCTAACCCATGCTGGGCTCCTTGAAGTTAGGCTCCCCCACTTCTCCAGGCGGCTCCATGTCATCACCAGTTGCAAGCCATTCCCTCAAGCACCCTCCCCGCATGACCTGCTCCGCTGGCATTTTCAGGGAAGGCGTTCGTTCTCTGACTCTCTCACAGCCCCACGCCCATCCCAGCAGGGCAAATCTCTCCCACTTTTGCTCATCCTCTCCCTCTTTTGTTATAAAGGTGCCACATCACATCTAAATTCTCTTAATTTTTCCACCTCCAGGGCAGAGCCTGGATCTTATTCATCTGCAGACGCTCAGGGCTCAGCCAGGAATAGAAGAGTCTTGACCAGAGAGCTTAGTGAAGGACACTTAGAATGTTGCTGTGCTTTTAGATGTATCAGGCTTCCCTGATGGCGCAGACCGTAAAGAATCTGCCTGCAATGCAGGAGACTTGTTTTTGATCCCTGGGTCAGGAAGATCCTCTGGAGAAGGGCATGGCAACCCACTCCAGTATTCTTGCCTGGAGAATTCCATGGACAGAGGAGCTTGGAGGGCTGCAGTCCATGGAGTCGCAAAGAGTTGGACACGACTGAAGCGACTTAGCACGTACACACTTTTTTCTGAACGGATGCAATGGAGGAATTTTGGAATACGACGGTATGAAGATGCTTATACACTTTGACATTTCTATACAATGCCTTCGTGTGCAGAGAGTGCTATAGAGCCTGATCTCATTTGAGGTTTCAACCAGCCCCATAAGGGAGGCAGAAACAGAATTTTTATCACTATCTTACAAAAAGAAGCCTGGGACTCTTTATCATGTGACCAGCCCAAGGCCACAGCTGGAAAGCATCAGGGTAGGGGCTGGCCCAGGATCCCACATTCTGCCTAGCAGGCTAAACGACTGGCGAGCAGGGCTCTGTCCCTAGCTAGAGAAGCACTGACTAACCAGCTGCCTGTGAGTAGCTACGTGCTCTTCTCAAGAGGATCACTGGCCACAGGGCAGCATACCATCGTCCACCATTCATTTCTGTACAAGGGAACTAAAGACGAATTTCACATTTGTCAGTCATTGAAAAAAAGATCAAAATATTTCGTGACATGTGAAAATTATACACAGTACAAACCTATTAGTAGTTTTATTTGAACATAACGAGGCTCATTCATTTATATACTGTCCACGGCCACTCTTAGGCTTCAGCAGCAGTTAAGTATTTGAGGCAGGGACTCCATAAGCCACAAACTGGATATATTCATCACCTGGCCCTTTATAGAAAAAGTGTGTTAAGTCCTGGCACACAAACTCTACCCCTGTTCTCGAGAGTTTAAAAGTAACGTGTTTAGTGCCTCTTCTCATCTCCATTTTTATTCAATAAAAAAGGAACACACACCTTGTTCTGGAATCTAAAGTAAAGCAAAAAAAAAAAAAAAGTGAAAAATTGACCAAAACAAGCAGCATTTGAGTTGATGTTTATAAAAATAGAGAAGCTAGACAGGATTGTTAAATTCTCAGGATTAACCATCTCAGCTGCTTGAGAACATTGGTGAAGCATGGGGTATCACGGTCATTCCTCCACGGGGAGGAATGCTATGTGATGAAACAAAGCCACTACAATTGAAGGGCACCCCCTGGAGCTGCGCAGCAGTGCCCCTGGGATGAGGACATATGAGAAAGTTATACTTAAATAAAATTACTAAGAAAACTAAAATAATTGTGTGTTGTTTAGAAAATGTATTTCGGTGTGCAGAACACATACCAACTACACAAGGCACATAAGAGACTATCTCCTGGGAGGTTGGCCCCACCAGCCTTACTGGCAGCAATGATGCCTTAACATTTGTACATTGTATAGGGTTTTACAGTTGACAAAAAAGCCTTCACTTATATTTTCTCATTTTAAATTCCCAAAGGTCCTATGAAGTAGGGGCATCTAACCACAAAATTCTCCTATTTGTAAAAAGTAGTGGTTTGATATGCTGAACTAAGTCCAAAGGCATTTAAAGGTCTCTATAGAGTTCATCATGCGAGAAATATACACACTTCTGGGAAGAGTTCCATCCAATCAACCACCCATGGTTAAACTTTGTCACTCAGAATCCCCAAAAGGTTTCAAATAATGATTCTCCTCTAAGGAGACCTCGTATGTGAGAATGTAGGTTTTACAGTAAAGCCTGTGTGATAGATGACACTATTTGAAAATTCTTAATGGATTTACATTATTACCTAATCCTCAAATTATTACCCCACCCCAAATAAGGGCCTTCTCACACAGCTAAGCACAAACAGTTGTTGCTCATTTCCGAGGGGGGAAGTTCCTCCATGCTTTCTGCGCATAAACAATAACAAGCACAGACCGCAGAACCGAGGTTCAAGGATTTTATCCTCTTACTTTTGTGTTCCAAAATTCCCAATAAAGCCTGAGTATAACTAAAATAGTTTGATCTCCACTAGAACCCTATGATTGAGTTGGCATGCTGAAAGGAAAAGAGTGGACACAACAATATTTACTTTTGGTTTAAGGGTACGATTGCAAGAAAGGAATCCTAGCCATTGCTGTAAAGAGAAATTTTAACAATAAAGATTTCTGCACAGAAAGAACAAACTATAATCAACATTATGAATTAAATCTTCTCATATACTCTGAGCAAACTCTGGTCTGCCTCTAGAACCAAAACTTCCCTCCTCAGATTGTTTAGTCGTGGTTTTCATAAAAAAGATATTTCTCGGGTTATGCATGAGTAACTGACCACAACTTCTGTCCTCCCACTTTCAATTCAGTTCTCCTAAACATGGCAGGACTGGGCAGGCCCATAGGGAAATGAGGTGTCTAACTGGTACCCACATCTATTAGTATTTGGCACATAGAGAAGGATGGGGAGATAAAGAACTTGTGCAGGCCACTAAGATACAGTTTTTACCAACTTTACCACACTGTAAATCAATCCCTTCTCTGGCTTCTTTCAATATTTATGGCATTCACTGTAATTGCCTTCTCACTTATTTGTATCCTTCTACTAGATCAGTGGTTCTCACCCGGGAGTGATTTTTGCCCACTAGGCTCTCCAGGGGACTTCTGGAAACATCCAGACACATTTTGGGTTGTCACAACTGGTGGTGGAAGGGTTTGTTAAGGACATCCAGTAGGCAGAGGCCAGGGGTGATGCTTAACATTCCACAATTCAAAAGGCAACACCCCACAGCAAAGAGTTATCCAGCCCAAAACATCAGTAGTGCATTAGATTGTATCTTCACACTTGTTTTAAGCTATAATGAAAGTAGGGAAAGCGTTAGTCGCTCAGTCATGTCTGGCTTTTTTTGACCCCTCGCCTGCCAGGATTCTCTGTCCATGAAATTCTCCAGGCAAGAATACTGGAATGGGTAGCCATTCCTTTCTCCATGCATTAGATTGTAAAGGCATCAAACATAGGAAAATTTGTATACTATATGCCAAGCATATAGTGAGTGAGTGAGTGAGTGAAGTCGCTCAGTCGTGTCCGACTCTTTGCGGCCCCTTGGACTGTAGTCTACCAGGCTCCTCCCTCCATGGGATTCTCCAGGCAAGAATACTGGAGTGGGTTGCCATTTCCGTCTCCAGGGGATCTTCCAGACTCAGGGATCGAACCCAGGTCTCCTGCATTGCAGGCGGACGCTTTAACCTCTAAGCCACCAGGGAAGCCCAAGCATATAGTAGATCCTCAGTAAACATTTTTGGAATAAATAACCATAAATATGTGGCTCAGCTGGTAAATAATCCACCTGCAATGTGTGAGACCTAGGTTCAATCCCTGGGTTGGGAAGATCCCCTGGAGAAGGGAAAGGCTACCCACTCCAGTATTATGGCCTGGAGAATTCCATGGACAGTATAGTTCATGAGATTGCAAAGAGTCAGACACGACTGAACGACTTTCACAAAAAATCATATATATTTTATTACTGCATACAAGCCCTAGCAACTTAACCTCCATGCTGCTTTCAGAGTACTCTTCCTAAATGATCTGATGCTCAGTTCTCTACTCAACATCTTTTGATGGATCTCAGACTTTAGAGGTGCATACTGGAATATTTGTGAATCAAATGAAATGTCTGGGTTTCCTTCTAAACAATCCAGAGACAGGAAGTGATAAAACAAAATTGACTATGAATTGGTAATTGTGGAAACCAGATGAGTGGTTTGTATGAGTTCATTCTACTATTTCTTGTTTTTGTTTAGATTTGAAATTTTTGAAACTAGAAGGTTTTCAAAATGTGAGGCACACTGAATAAAACTAAAAAAAGAAAAAAAAAAAAAGAACCTATGATACCTCTCCCTTACTGAATAGAGACTGAATGTCTTGATCTGCTAACTAAGCATTTCTATCATCTTTCTCCTCAGCTTCCCCTCATCTTTACCTCTGCCTGAGGACAAAACCTGGCTGGGGCTTTAAAGTATTTTTGTTCTGGAAAAATCAAATGTGTTCCAAAAAGCAACGCCTCTCTTGGATTAATTTCCAACCGACATTCACAACTTGCCCTTTCACTCCCCTCTAATCCCCCCAGAAAGCCTAGTTTGGCTGAGATGTTAAGAGGAAGGAAAGGAAATTAACATTTACTGAGTGCCCATGATATGCCAGGTGCTGTCCTGAGCATACTTTAATCTTTAAAAAGTTATGTGGTGGAAATATGGAGAAAATTCAATATTTTAGACACTTAACTTGCTAAGAATTATAGACTGTACATAAAGCATGGCAAATTTGGAGATGTTCTTTTGTGCCCATTTCCCCCCCATATATATGAATATATACATACATATATATATATATATATATATGCCCTAAACTTCAGAGAAATGATTACTTTTCCCTTTCACCTTTAAAAAAAAATCATCGCTGACGTGGTGTAATCACTTTTATTATGTAAGCCCAAGTGTTCTCAAATGCTGTAAAAAGCAGTCACAGCATCCAAAGAAAACAGCACTAACATGCCTATAGTTCAAGATATTTCAGAAAATATGGTAGGATGGCACCACCTCAACTATTTTGTTTTGCCATAAACCATAATATGCATAAATTATTCACGTTTCCTGGGCTTTTCTTTGAGTTACAATTCAAAGTCACAGAACTTGTCCTAAACTTTAAGACTCTTAAATAGTTTACGTGTTTCCTAATATCGTAACCCTTTGGTGGAACAGACTTTTTTCCCTAAAACTCTTCATCTTCTTTTCATTTCATAATTATTAGAGCATTTGGGTGCTAACCTGCATACCAATGTGATATGACATGAACTGGGGAGGAGGCCAGGAAGAGGCATATGAAAGGACAGATGACTGTGTTACTTGCAAATTTTGTTAAAAACTAGAATCAACCTAAAGGAAATCAGTCCTGATATTCATTAGAAGCACTGATGCTGAAGCTGAAACTTCAATATTTGTGAATCAATCTGGCCACCTGATGCGAAGAACTGCCTTATTAGAAAAGACCCTGATGGTGGGAATGATTAAAGGCGGGAGGAGAAGGGGATGACAGAGGATGAGATGGTTGGATGGAATCACCAACTCAATGGACATGAGTTTGAGTAAGCTCCAGGAGTTGGTGATGGACAGGGAGACCTGGCGTGCTACAGTCCATGGGGTTGCAAAGAGTCGGACACGACTGAGTGACTGAACTGAACTGAGAATCAACCTCCACCTAGGATAAGGCATAAAGATTTAAGAGCACAGGCTCAAAGTTCCTTGATTTGAATCCCAGACCCACCATTTATTTATGTGGTGTGACCTTGGCCAAGTTACTTACCCTTACTCTGTAATAGACTTGCCTCACAGAGGAGCCACATGGATTAAATACTATTACCCACAAAAAACATTTGGTATGAAGCCTTGCACTAAGTAAATGCTCAATAAATGTCAGATCAACATTATCATCTCCATCTTCATCATTACCACTAGCATCATCAGTATTGAAAATTTAAGCAAAAGAATTCTAATCCCAGAGTTGGTTCCCAAGGAACTGAGAGATCAAAGGTGGCAAAGATGTGCTGTGAAACTTAGGAAAGTTCCATTAATAACAGTGCTTCCCCACCCCCACCCCCCCAAAAAAAAACAACAGCGGCCCAGAGGAAGGACTCAGAATTACTTAGTTTTGATGGCCTATTCTGCTTGCCCAGTGAAGAAAGAAACATCACCTGAAATGTGCCCTTGCTACTGGCAGTGGTTGCCACAGAGTAGCTCTCTGGCTGACTGTGAAGGAGACAACTTCTATCTGCTGCCCCAGAAAACCCAAGTGTTGGGAAATAAGGTGGACCAAATGGCCAGGGAGAGCTGGAACTTTGGCCAGGTCTCCAAAGAGTATCCATGTAGTAAAAGGACAGTAAACTGTCCCACTAGGAAATTTTTACCCCCAAAGTTATTTCCAACAAGAGATCTGCCCACTTCCAGAGATACTGTGTGTGCTAAGTTGCTTTAGTTGTGTCCAACTCTGTGCAACCCCACGGGCTGTAGCCTACAAGGTTCCTTTGTCCATGGGATTCTCCAGGCAAGAATACTGGAGTAGTTTGCTATGCTCTCACCTGAGTGATCTTCCTGACCCAGGGATCGAACCTATGTCTCCTGTCTTGGCAGGCGGGTTCTTTACCACTAGCACCACCTGGGAAGCCCACGGATACTGGGGTATTTGTTATCTTAATACAGTAACACATAAGACTGTCTGGCAGGAAGAACACTCATGATCCTGTTATTTTTCAAAGAAACCAATACTATCAGGCAAATAGTCACATTTCTCTTATAAATGATTATTCCAATTCCCTGAGAGGTAGGAGAGCACAGACTCCAATGGCCTGCACTGAGGAGAAATGCTTCTAGAGTCAAAGGAAAATAAACATAAAAGATGAGAGGAGACTCTCAAAAAGGCTAAAAACTGCCAGGAACCCTACCCCATTCAGTGGAAAGTTAGAAAGAGCATTTGCATACAGCCCCTGGGAAGCCAGCCTACAGCCTAACCTTCTCAATTTGTTTAACAAACCTAAGCAATAAACTTTCTTCACCACGTGCTTCTCCACTAAAACCTAGTCTCAATTAGCAAATCTCATGAAATCGCTTTGATATTTGGTAAAACTTTCCTCTTGGACTTTTATGTAAAGAAAACTCTGAACTTTCAGGATAATTATACACCAAGTTTAAATAAAGGTAATTACCTAATTTACAAGAGGAATTACTTAAAAAAAATACCACCAGACTTAAAGAATGAATGAATGAATTACTGGAAGTTATACTGCTGCAATATTAATGCCTAATTATTGTCTGGCACAAGAAAAAGCAAGCTGCTGCCTTCAATTACCGGCAGAATTACCTCTCTCAAAATAGGTACGAGTAACAGATGCAAGAGTATGGGGTGGCTGCTGCTGTTACACCACTTTCACAGTACAAAGCAGAGCCAGCTGTTGCCTGATTATGATACACTTTGCAACACAATTAATTTATTCTTATTTCTTTTTGCTTGGACTCAATAAATAAGGAACTACTTGGGCAATCCATTTATGGAAAGTCTGCAGCTATTATAACGGTTTCAAATGGCTAAAAATTAATGAATAAAGTTAAACAAACAACAACAAAAACACTGATGAGGAACCAATAAACATCTAATGCGTACATCTCCCACCAACTTGAGGACGGCTGGGAAATGAATGAAAAATTGGTTTGCCTCTTCAAACAGTACAGCTGAGTGTTATGGCTGAGAAGGCCTCTGGGAGTCATCTGGTCGAACCCCCTTTCTCCAGATAAAGAAAATGAAACCCAAGGACCTGACAGAAGAGCTCCAGAGTCCCACAGCCAGCTAGCAGGGAAAGCCTAGAGCTGTGCATAAAATTCTAAAAACGAAACGATAAAAACACATTTGAACAGTGGTTTTCAACGTCTTTCTGCTGTGATACCTAAGACAGATGGTGTTCACATACATGGTACCCTCCCCAAAGGCATCTGAGATCCCTGACAAAGCACTCTAATAGCTTGTAGGCAGCACAGCCTTTACCAGTAGGTCAAAGAAAGGTGGGCTGTGGACTGCGTGCAATTCCAGAAGGAACTCTAACCCTCTCCAACATGCTCGAGGAAGTATATCTGCATGCAGGCGGAGTGACATCATGACAGACAACCGAGACTTTGGTCTAATATCTAAAGAGGAAATAATTGGCAAAGGTATCATTTTTTTTTGCAAAGGTATCATTAATGCACAGCAGCAGGAGAACCAACTAAACAAAACTCTGTGGGCAAAGAATTCTTTTCTGAAGCTACTAAATGGTCATTAATTTATCTTTCAAATAAAACTGGGCTTTGATTTACAGTATTGCAGCTTCTTTACGAGTAGCAAACAGGCCACTGTTCTCTGGCCGAGCCTCCCCAGAACGCACCTTTCAATGGTACTTCGTGGTGGATAACAGCGAGGGGCCTGGTGAACGTCTTCTTATTCTGCATCATGGCCCAGATCATTGAGGCATCCAGCGAGGTGCAGGCTTCATCAGGAAGCACACACTGCAGAGAGGAGAAGAGTCAGGGGGTCACTCAAAAGGGCCAGCATGGTCGTCCTGTGGCCCCTTATCAGACAGCTCACAGCTGTTTACCCCAGAAAAACAGGACACCAGGATGGTTTTCAAAGAACCACCAATAATCTGAGAGCTATGAGAGCAAGCTCAGTGTATTCTCAGCTGTACTTGAAGATCCAAACATTGCTGGATAGATTCCCACAAAACAACCGGAGGTTTTAGTGTTATTTAGTCTGAAAAATAAAATAACTATATGACGAACATTGGCCCTTCACCAAGCTGGCTTACACATAAATGGTTCATGTTTGTGATTTGTGATGGTAGGAAACTTCATGTATTGCATTATGAGGGTGACAGATTTTACATTTGTTGTCCAAAAAGATAATCATGTTGTCGAGTGCATTTGATTTTTTTAATTACAGTATAGGCTCATGCAAAATGAAGCTTTCCAGGGTCATCTGCTTTTAATGTTCCAAAATGAAGTCCTAGGGAGTTGTGCCTAGGGGTGGAGGCCATGAGATCAGCTGTTTCCAGCTATTTTCAGGCTCCAAACTTAGAACCAGCATGCCCAAGCCTGGTGTATCTGTTTCCATTAGCTTTTCCTTTAAAATAATTTTGGCTCCTTGTCTACGCCCATCAATAGGTGAAATGCTAATGTCAGTGACATCCAATCACTTTTGTTGGAAGGGGAAACATATCAATTATTTTTAAAAATCTATATATAGCAAGGCACCCAGAAAAGTTAACTAGCTTCCAGATCTTCCAGTCACAAAAGAGCAGAGAATTGTGGCTTTATTGTCATTGCTGCTCTGAGCAACACGAAAGTCAGATACATGTTATAAGACAATTCCCCTCTCCTCCAACCCCTGCCCCAAACAAGAAAAGTCTTTACAACAACCCTCCTGTAAAGGGAAACAATGGGTTTTTAATGGAGAGATTTGCGTTTTAGGAAGAGCTTTCTTCCTTTCCTTCTAGTTCCTTGGTTAAGCAAGAGTCTACAACAAATTCACTGCAAGATCCCAGGCAAGTCACTGAACCCTCTGCTCTCAATTTCATCAGCAATGGGCAGGCTTGGACTCAACAGTCTTTGAGAATTCTTCCTAGAAGAATCCTTGGCTCGGTCGATTGCCATAGAAAGCAGTCACAGGAGTGTGGCAAGATTAACCACAGGCTGTAAACAGAGGAAGAGTGGTAACAGCTCTAGAAATGGTCCACTGTCCTCACCTCCACGGTCTCACCTGCTCTTCTACCAGGAAGGAAGGCTACATTCTCACCTCACTGGGACAGACAAGGACGCGGAGGTCCTGAGAGGTCAGGACCTTGCTAACGTCCTGCGAGTAAGAATCAGGCCTTCCTTCTTGGCCCCTATGCTCCTTCCACTCTATCTTGCCTTGGATATGACCTTGGGCTTACGGTCACATCCCATGTTAACCCCAGGTACTTAGAACTCTCCTTTAAATGTTCTAAAAGGAAATATTAGGACTAACTTTCACAGACTGATACACTATGAAGCTGGGTTGCTATAGGCCAGGCTCACTGAAAGGTGAGAGCCACAGCTATCAGTAAAGGCAGGGGTAACTGCCAGGCCTCCCCTCCAAGATCCCCAACTCCTAAAAGTTATTCTCTGGGTTCCACAGCCACACAGGAAGTTCTGCATGGCTCTCAACCACTGTCCGCTATGGCCCAAGCTTGATGGCCACTGGAAGGTGGAGGCCCACAAGGCTAGGGCACCAGTGTTTCCTAAGGCAACCTAAAGAACACAGTCTAAATCACCTTTTATATATATATGTATGTATGTATATGTATGTGTGTGTGTGTGCTCCCTGAGGACTAAGAGATCAGATTCACTATATTTTCAAATGTATTATAAAATTTCCTGTGGTCTAATGGAGAAATTGATGCCCAGGAGAATATAATGGTGCAAAGGATTCAGATAAATGACAATCTGTCTCCTAACAATAACTTTTCCTTCTCCTTTTACGCCCATCTCTCACAACCTATGTACCAGGTGAGAAAATTCTGTCCCTATAATACATTATTAGTGACACACCTCAATTATTGGACTTTTAGACGTTGACTGATATGCAACTGTAAAAGGATGAGAAGTCAGCTTACACTGTGTAAGATATCTAACTAAAATAAACACACATACAAAGTTATACATAATTACGGCAGATCACAGAAACAAAACTAGACAGAAGATACCCTTTGTGCAAAAAGCCAAAACAATGAGGTCATTACCCTTGCGGATGCCCCCTACCATAGCCACACCGACAAGGTCAAAGGGTTCTGATTTCTGTTGTGGCAACAGCATGTCCTGGTTCTATGTGGGGAGCAACATGAGGCAAACATGACGAATCACAATACGAAACCAAGAAAAATTAAAATATTTGTTAGTTTCCCTTAGAAGTCCTCATGAGACAAGTCAACCTTATAACTCACACAGAGAAGGTCAAAAAACAACTGCAATACAAATCTCAGTGGGACCTGGAAAAATTAATCCTCACGTTGAACTTGTCCTTCGGCTCTCTGTACTCTTGGCACTGCGTACTATCTGAATAGCAAAGATAAAGCCAGACCTCTCCTTCAATGGAAAACAGTCTTGATTTATCGTTCATAAGATACTACTGAATAGTACGCATGGAAAAAAAAAGCATATGGTCAGGATTTATTCTCTAAGACTCCATAAAACTCACAGTTCCCTGCTAACATGAACTTAATGACTTTGACTGGGCAGTTCTCAAACCAAAAACCTCAACCTGCAGTAAGCTGTGATTAAACCTTTCACTGCCTCACCCGAAGATGTCAAAATAACAGGAGAAAACAGATGAAGGCCCACTAACCTTAGGTAGCTTCTGGGGGTCCTTTTCCTTTTTGGTACACAAGGTGAGCTCACACTGGAGAAAGAGCAGGGAGGTATTGAAGACGGGCTTAAAAACAAAGCTGAACCGTTTCTTATCTATCTCGGCTTGTGGGATAGGGAAGTGCACCCTCTTGGGACTGTAGAATTTCACAGATTCATCTTTAGGACAAATGTTCTCAATGATAGTATAATCAGACATTCTATCAGGGTTTGAATATGGAGAGATAAAGCACGTTTGGATGGCAAATCCCAGTTCTTGGTCGGCCTTGGTAACAGACACCTACAACAGAACAGAAAGTGCAATTCAGAAACAAGTTAGCATCTCACTCTCACAGTAGGCACAAGGTCAACATATCAGCTCGGCCCTTCTGATGAGAGACATTGCTTGATTTGTGTAACACACCTATATAGTCTTCTTTCTAATCACAAAAGTAACAGACTCATCGAAGAAAGAGATATTTTCCATTTAAATTTGGTATGGATGATGACAGTGAATTGCTTAGTTTTAAGTGCCAGCCTGGATTCTAATATTCTAAGATTCTAATACAAGATAAATAAGTCTCTTTGACCTCCTATAAGTCCCCTGGGAAATAAAAATAAAAGTACATCATGTACCTAGAGTAGACTTCCCAAAATAAATAGAACACCAACAGGTAAAAACCCTAATGTCCTAATAGTGTTATCACTTGTAAGGCAACCTCTTTTTAAAAATTACTTAAAAAATAAAGGACAGAGGCAAAAGTACTTAAACCAGGCAGGGAAGACCAAACTTCTAAACTGCAGCAAGTCAGAAGGAGCCTAAACACTGCAGTAACGCTACTGATTCATCTAAAGTCCTGCTTCACGGTGAGCAAGCAGAGCTGGCTTCTGGGGCTAGATGTTGGGCACAGTGCAATCTGATGGCGATCACGGGCCTGGCAAAGTGTCCCAGCTCTTCAGAGGTCCAAACCAGACCTTGCCAAGTACTCTCCCTTCACTCTTTAAGCCCAAGGGTATTTTAAGGGAAATCTAATCTGGAAACGTTTCCGACTCATTTACACTTCCCTCTTACAAAACATTTGTATGGGCTATGTCCAAACCTTGTTAAGGTTCTTTTCTTTAGAAACAGGAAGTAGTGTGTGGCCAAGTGTAAACAGAATTCAAATCTCAACCATCCTGAACTCAGTTAAAATCTCCGAACCAGACTGCATTCTCCATCTGGCGACACATGGATCACTGTGTGAACTGCCTCTCCCCACTATTGCCTCATTTCTTGACTAAACTAAGAATCAAAATAAACTTAAACACTTTAGAAATAAAGTTGGTCCTTAACCATAAACCAATAGCCCCAGAATCCTTTCAAAGGCATGAAGATATAAACACACTTTGCATTCTGAGATACCCACGGGAAATCCCTGACATCACATGGGGCTTTGAGCCCACGGCACTATTTTGAAAGATCCCTGTGTGGTTAACTGCAAGACACTCAACAGTGAAGATGATGAAAATGATAATGACATTTTGCTGTGCCTTAAAGCTTAATCCTTGAGAACAATCTTATAAGTATTTTCATCTTCATTTTATAAATGGAGGAAAAACTGAACACACAGGATAGATGACTTATTCAAAATCATAGCTAGCAAATACTGGGGAAAACCAAGGCTTGAGCCTAGGTCTTCTGAACCCAAGTCCATTATCTTTTCACTATTTCACTACAGCTACAGGGTCAGTTCAAGCTGCCCATGATGTGGTCAGAGAGGGTGCTTAGTAAGACCTCTTTCCAGGAAGTAGTATTTAGTAGTCTGAAAATATTCACACTTCATTATTTTTACAGTATTTATGAAAAATGAGATAATTAATCTTGGGAAAATGGCAAACTACATATACTCTATTTACTCAAAAGTGCCCTTTAACATGAACTCAGAACCCACAAGGCAAAAATGTGTGATAGAAGAAATGCAAACCTTTTCTCTAATCTCAAAGAAAGCATACAATGGCAGAATATCTAAGGTGCTCCAAAAAGTTGTTTGAGAGGAAAAAAAGACTATTGTCAATAAATCTTTTACTCTGAAATGGACTGGAAGTGAGTAGTGGCAGGACTCTGCTGCTCACTCGCCATGAGCATTGACCCTTGGTTTCTCCCCCACAGAATGAGGGTACTGACACTGACTAGATACAGCGACTGTGACAATCTGTAAACTCAAAATTATATGCACACAACACAGCTCTCTGATAGTTAGGAAATGCCAGCTAATACTAGTAGTACTAATCTAGATTTAAATTTGGGGGGTTCTATTAGACATCAACCCTGAATATTCATTGGAAGGACTGATGCTGAAACTGAAGCTCCAATACTTTGGCCACCTGATGTGAAGAGCTGACTCACTGGAAAAGCCCCTGATGCTGGGAAAGACTGAGGGCAAGAGGAGAAGGGGGCAACAGAGGATGAGATGGTTGGCTGGCATCACTGACTCAATGGACATGAGTTTGAGGAAACTCAGGGACACAGTGATGGACAGAGAAGCCTGGGATGCTGCAGTTCATGAGGTTGCAAAGAACTGGACACAACTTATCGACAGAACAACAAAAACAATATATAGACTTATATTTTTAATTTCCCAAGACAAATGAACTGAAAGAAAATCTGCCAACTGTGTGACCAACTATCACCCAAAGATGACCAAAGACTAAGTGGCAAAACTGGTAATGTCTCGGATTAAAGGAAGAGACTATGATCTAGAGAAAATAGAAAATTCTGCAAGGGGATGTGATAAGGATGGCCACAAGAGGAAACATGGAAATAGCTCTTTAGACTAAGTCAATGATTAAGTTTTACTTACTTTCCCCAAATAAAAGATTTTCTTATCAGTGGTAGAGTCCAAACTGAGAAAAAAAAGACTAGGCATGGCTACTATCCTATTTAACAAAATATATGCCAATTCGCTCTCATATTTTATGTGGTTTAAAACAATTTTAAAATAAAGTAGTTTATAACATTTCCCCCTTCCCCCAAATTCTCTTCAGTGTATTATTATGTACTTTCCCTGGTGGCTCAGCTGGTAAAGAATCCGCCTGCAATGTGGGAGACCTGGGAAGATCCCCTGGGGAAGGAAACAGCTACCCACTCCAGAATTCTGTTATAGTCCATGGGGTCGCAAAGAGTTGGACACGACTGAGCGACTTTCACATATCATTTTAATGATGTTTAAAATGGCATAATAGCAAAAAGACTTGGTTTGTTTTTTTCCATCACTTTCACAATGTCTTTGATTCAATTCAATTATGAACAATATAGATGATATATAAATGGGAAAATAAGAATGAAAAAGAAAATGTATTTCAAGTAAGCCAGCACTGTGGGTTGGGGGAGGCAGTTGGGGAGGAGGGAGAAAACCCAAAATATCCAGAGTTGGATGCATGAGGAAGATTTAAGGCAGCAAAGCCATAAATTGGCAAAGCCAGGCACACATCTGGAAAAGAACAAACTACAGTTAAGCAGCGCCCCTAAAACCTACAGCGCAATAGTGCATCACTGACCAACCACACATGTGGATGGAGCAGCTGGACTAGCAAGACGAAAACACCAATGTTGGATTAGGAGAGAGCTCTGATTAGGGACAGCACATAGAAAGCAGTATATCTTCCCTAATAGAAAAAGGAGTACCCAATGAAAGAGAAGATCTCTCAGAAGAGGGAAATCAGAAAGGAGGAGATGATCCAAGAAAATGTCTAGAGACTATGGGCTCCGTCCCAGAATCAGTACAAATGTGAGTTATTTGTCTTTCTTAAATAGAAATATGTGTACTGAAGTCACTTTTAATATATGGAAGTATCCCATTTTGGCCCCTTAAGCTTCTCCCTCCTCCCGCAGTGGAGGACAGCAGCCTGCATCTTAGCACCAAAACCAGCTTGATAGAGGATGACTTTCCTGTAAGACCAGCAGACATCTGGGGCCATGAGGATAATCATCTTCTCTAGAATCCAGTCTGTGAACTCGGGTATTTGTACGGCAAAGAGGTTACATTTTCTCCCCCTTGAAAATGGCACTTTGAGGATAAATGATGGCATCCTGTGGACAACAGTGTGGTCTCTGGAGCCAGATGGACTGAGTATGAACTCTGACTCTGAACTCTCTAGGTACTAACTGTGTGACCTTAGACAAATTTGGGCCTCAATTTCCTCATCCACAAAATGGGGATATTAACAGTCCCGTGTCATAGAACTGCTCAGAAGAATATGAGAACTTATAACTGAGCTTGGCACAAAATAAATCTACAATAAACTTTAGCTGTTGTTATTTCATTATTACCACCACTACCTAATAGTTCTGTAGTCACTCCACAGATTTACACTATGTGTGGTTATTATTGTTATATATAGGAAATAATTTTAATAAATTTATAGATACATTGGGGCTTCCCTCATAACTCAGTTGGTAAAGAATCTGTCTGCAATGCAGGGGACCTGAGTTTGATCCCTCAGTCGGGAAGATCCCCTGGAGAAGGAAATGGCAACCCATTCCAGTACTCTTGCCTGGAGAATCCCATGAACAGAGGAGCCTAGCAGGCTACAGTCCATGGGATCACAAGAGTCAGACAGGACTTAGCAACTAAACCACCAAACCACCACCATAGATACATTTAGATAATGATCTAGGGAAAAAAAAACAATTTTCATGAGCTATGGTGACATACAATATTTCACTCAAAAGTATGCACAATTTAAAAGATAGTCTCTGAGGGGGGTTGAAATATTCCTTTGTTAACTCTGATATTGCAACTACTGAACGAATGCCTTTGGCAAAAATACAAAAGACAAAGTAAGGACAAAGTTTTATTAGAATTTAGGCCCCTGATTAAAAAAAAACAAAACATTTTCATCCATTCATCTATAAAATGCTCTCTACATTTAGCATAATGCAATGAACCCTGAAATTTCCTGCTTTGGTCAGAAAGCAATGTGGAAGCGTCTTCGGAGTGAAGCCTTCACCCAGAGCTGGTCAAGGCTGAGGAAGGCAGGAAGAGGTCTGCCCCCAGGGGCTTTCACTCACGCTCCGGAGCCCCTGCGAATCTCAAATCTCGGCTAACCTAACAGCCCAAGGCTAGCATGTGGGTCTCACCTCAACATAAACGTGTCCATTCTCTGCCACAGAGAAGACTCCCTGGGAGGGCACGAGAAAGAGGTCAGTGTTGTACAGCTCCATGTTGAAGGTGACGTTTCTGCTGGGTTCGTCCTGGAAGCTGCGGGGATTCCCCACCTGCCGCAGGCTACAATTAAACTGGAGGAAAGAAGAAAACAGACGGAAAGAAATCAGAGTCAAATGAAGCTTGCAGCTTTAGGAGCTTTAGCCTTTAACATCTGATTTTATTTTCCAATGGTCCCCGACTAAAGCCAACCAAAAACTACCTCTATAAACTCTATAAACGACCTCCTACAAACACATACCACCACAATTTCAGGTCGGCTGAAGAAGGAAGTGTCCCCTTCATCCATATCTCCCGGAAATCCATTATCACCAGACTCCAAATCTTCATAACCATCTGGCCAGCCACTACTGTCCCCAGAGGGTGGAACCTGAATCACAATCTAAAAGGTAAGGAAAGCACAATGTTATGAAAACACCCAATCACATACCTTTGGTTCCACCTCACATAAACACCCATGTAATAAATTCTGAGGTGAACTGAAAATCTGACTTGATTAAAAAAAAAAAAAAAAAGGCCTCCAAGTTTTTTTAGGATTTTATCCTCAAAGAAATGAAAAAGAAGCCCAATGCGTGATAAATTAAGATTTAAAATAAAATATGCATTTCAAATAGTGTGAAAACACCAGACACTGAAATGGGGTTGGGTGGAGTTTTCAACAGGCCCACCTGTACTGTAGGGGGTGGGGGAGTTTCTCCTTAGGGGCCTTTATACTGAAAACTCTAAGAAACACTGATTTGGCTAATCCAAGGAGTTCCTGTAAATTGTGTCTGTCAAGATTTGATAGGGACTTCCCTGTTGGTCCAGTGGCTTAAGACTCTGAGCTCCCAATGCAAGGGGCCTGTGTTTCATCCCTGGTCAGGGAATCATATTCCACATGCTGCAACTAAGAATTTGCATGCCAAGGGCCCACACAGCCAAATAAATAAATAATAAAAAAAAAAGAAAAGAAAAGAAAAGATTTGATAAAGTTTGGTTTGAGTCAGAAGCAAAGAACCTGATGTTCACTATTGAGCCACTGTCTCCTCACCCAGAATTCTCCTATATGCATCCATCTCCCCCACTATCTCCTGTATGAGGTATAGATGCAGGAAAGAACATCAAGTTCTATGCCATGAAAACCTGTCTTAACATTGGTAGAAGGTTAGTTCTATGTAAGATGAAAAAATTCACCCAGGGATTAGGACTCCATAAATTAACTCCTAATTTATTTGCATACATGGGATAGTTATAATATTTGTTTGATTTTATGCTCCACCTCCTTAGATTTTGAATATGTTGTAAAATGAAAATAGATATTAAGTCTGAAAACTACCACAATTATAACTGGAAGAAATGGTTAAAATAGCCACTGAGAAGACAGCAGAATGGGAAAGAAATGAAGGAAAACTGCCTCTCTATTCTTTCCCAGGTCCTCAAAGAAAGTAGTGATGCAACTGAAGCAAGGTAGGTTATTACTTATCCTATAATAATTTTTTTAAAAAAAGAAGAAGCAATATACTTTTCTCTCCTGAGGTAGTTAGATGGCATTTTTTTTTTTAACTTAACCAGCTACCATGGCCTCTCATTGGCGTTAATTCAAATCAAAGTTTAAAATTCCAGGGCTTCCCTGGTGTCTCAGTGGTAAAGAATCCGCCTGCCAATGTAGGAGACATAGGCTTGATCCCTGATCTGGGAAGATCCTACTTGCCTCAGAGCCACCACGCCCGTGAGCCATAACTACTGAGCCTGTGCTCTAGAGCCGGGGAGCTGCAACCGCTGAAACTCATGTGCCTGATAGCCCGTGCTCCGCGACAAGGAGCTTCCCACTGCAGTGAGAAGCCCGTGCACTGCAGCTAGGGAAAGCCTGCACAGCCACGAAGACCTAGCACGGCCAAAAATACATAGAAATATTTTTTTTTAAGTTTAAAATTCCAAAATCAAGTATACCAGTAATATATGACACTCATTACATCTGGAAAAACTGGATAATTGCAAGAAAATGAGTGCTGGAATTGGCAGAGGAGTGTTCATCATAGAAGTCAAAGGTTAATAAATAATTTCAGTAACAAAGCGGAGTAGCTGCTCCAGCCTAGGGCTGGGGGAAGATCAGTGGATGAGAGGTTGGGAAGCTGGATTCAGTCCTGGCTCTACCGCTAACTTGTCTCTCAAATCCAAACAAGTCTCTTAACTCCCTGGAGTTCAATTTCCTCACCTGTGAAATAAGGACGCTGAATGAGATCATCTTAGGGTTCCTTCCAGCTCAAACATTCTAAAATTATCTGAGGAACAATAAACTTGGCTCACAGGAGAGTCAGTCCCCACATGAGCCACGCTGACCAGAAAGCCAGTCTCTTCTCTGGCGGGGTCCTATGTGTGGACCAGCAGTGAATAAACAGAGTCGTCAGGGCCTCCCCAGCTCATGCCAAAGCTAGGTAGGCACTGAGTGCAGACACATACACACACGTCAAAGCTGGACACGGGGATCTTTGAGCCCTGTTTTCGTCATCAAAAGTACAACTCAAATTGCAAAACTACCACTTTAAAGTTCTTTTGAAATTTCATGTTCAAATTCTTGTAACATTCACTGTGCAGTGTCCACTTCTACATAAACAGATTTAATCTGAAGAGACTAAGGTGAACTGCCAAGAATGATGTCTGGAAAGTGAAGGATAGCTACTGCAATGACTATCATTGGGGAATCTCTGGGTAACTTCGAAAGTAGGAGATGTTCTTTAATTTAGGGTCTTTTCTAAGGATGGAGAGAGATTAACAATTTCTCCAAGGACCATTTCAGACTTCTCTCTTTTGGTTCTTTTGTTCATGAGGGAGGGAAAAGTTCTCCTACTTCTAGACATGCCTCAGATGAGGCCATGGATCTCAGATGAACCATGGATCTGGTTAGCTCAGCTGTACAGAGGTGCTCATTCACAGCCTTGGAGTTTGTCCTCATGTGAACCAGGCCATCAGAGCCTGCAGCTGAGCCAGAAAAAGCCATAATCACCTTGCCAGTGAACGCTTTGCCACCAGGAGATGGAAGTAAGGGTGGGAAAGATCATCACAAATGTTCCAGCCAAGAAAGCAGGGCCTCCCAACTCCCACAGACTCACCAACAAAACAAAAGTGTTCAGGGTCAGAGTACATCCCATTTTGTTGAGAACCAACAGTGGGCTTCATTCAAGTCTGGGGTATATGGCCCTCCTCACTTTCATAGAAATCTTAAGACTAATTTTAAGGTAACACCCAGCAAGGCTCAGGCAAAGGGAAAACTTTGTCCTGGAGAACACTCACAGAGTTGTAGTAAACCACGCCATCAGGGGGTGCTCGCCGGAGCCGAGTCCCACAGCCATTCAGGGGAGACTCCAAAATGAAGTGGGTGTCATTTGTCTTGGCCTTGCAGGTGGGATCCAACAAGCTGAGCTCCATCCCAGAGTAGCCGCTGGCCTGAAACAACCACCACCAAAGACATAAAGAGGGGCCCACAGGCCATTCTACAGCATGCAGTTAACACATTTTGCCTGGTCTTCTAAATAAAGGTCACTGGAAGCCTGCACTCCCTCTCCCCCGCTTACCTCCTTTCAGCCTACCATCTCTTAACAGCCCCAGAATTGTGTTTGTTGGCCTTGGAAATTCAATAGCAAAATATTGACACACAAGGATCTGGAACCCCCCCCTCACCGAGAACAGGAACCGGGGGAGACTCACAGCCAAGGGGAAGTGAGCCCATCCAACTGAGAAAACAGCATCAAATCTCCAGAGTGCAAAAGTGAAAGAGCTGGAAATAACTCACACAGACTGAGGGGAGATGGACAGGGAGGTAACCGCCCCTTCTCTCCTTTAAGAAACTGCACCAACCTGAAAAGAGTCTTTGTCTACAGCCACAGTCATCTTCTCATCGTCACACTTGACGGACAGGGCAACATCTGTGCTGCCCTGCACCTCCTCTGGCTCTCTGGGACCAGGGGACAGCTGGATGCTGGGGATGACAGGGTCCTTTGGCAGAGGGATCCCGTCTTCACCCCCTTCCTTCCGGCCTCTCCTGGAGATGTCGGGGAAGGGAAAAGGGAAACCTCCATTTCGGCCTCCTCCTCCCCGAATGGGTGGGTTGTCCAGGGCAGGCAGAGTGCCAGGGCCCAGCAGGATCCGTAGCTCAGGAGGGATGGTATGGACCTCCTCATCTCTCATCTCCTCTGATGGTAAGAGAAGAAGACAGAACATCATCAGTGTTTGATGGCAGGTCACAATCACTATCATGAGAAGTGAGAATGGCAGGAAAGAGCAAAGAATGGGCATATGTAAAACTATCCTTAACGAGCAATGTATAAAGATATGGAGTCTGTCTCGAAGCCTGAATTCTAATCCTGATGTTCTTTCTAACTGGTCTGGCGGCTTTGGGTAAGTAGCTTACTTCTCTGTGCTTTGGTTTCCCAATTTTTTAAATTAAGAGGTTGGATTATATCAGTGGTTCTCAACTTTGGCTGCACACTGAATCTCTCTGGGAGCTTAAGAAAAAAGCACCCCTATGCTCAGGTTGTAGCCCGGCCCAATTAAGAACTGAACTCTCTTTAAATCATTACGTTTTAAAGCTCCCCATGTGATTCCAATGTGCAGCCAAGATTAAGAACTGCTGCATTAGATGATTTCTAAGGCCCTTCAAGCTATAAAAAAACCCTACTATTTGAATAAGTTATGTGGGACGATATTATTCCATTCAAATGCCAATGAAATACTTTCCTTGAATCTAGAGATTCTTTCTCTAGATTCTTTCTCAGTCTCTCTAAAGATTTCTTGAAATAATACTGCTATTTTGAAATTATTTTGCTACCTCCTATTTCACTGCTAAATTTTAACAGATATCTAGGTACCTTGGCCTTTTAGAACCTAGTCCCCCCACAAAAAGAAAAAGCTGCTTAGCTTCAATTATTCCTTCAAAGTCAATTGATATATACTTGCGGTTAATCCATCCTACAATGGGAATTGGAAAAGAGGATGGCAGTAGACATTAGCTCTCCTTCAATACCATTTTTTTTTAAAAGGATGGCACAGTTAGTTCTATGGGTCCAAAAGAAGTAAGAGGTTTGGAGGTTTTTAATTTGTTAACAAAAAACCTTCACAACCACCCTGTGAGATGGGTCATACTGTTTCCCCCATATGGCTGAAGAAGAATCAGAGGCTCAGGAGTTAAGCAACTTCCAAAAACAGTGATCAAACACCAGGGCTGGGACTTAAACCTGGACTCCCAACCTTCATTCTACCAACCCTGCACTCAGTTGTGGTACCATGCAGTGAGCAAAAGATCCAGGGATCAGAAAACCTGGGGTTCAAGTCTTAGTAGCTATAAGAGAACCTCAAAGAACTTATTAAGCCTCTGCTTTCTCCTCCATCTAAGTGGGATAGTAACTCCTATATTATTCCCTCTGGGTGAGCATGAGAGAGCATGAGAAAGCACAAGTATGAGTCCTCGTGACTTCCTGTGAGATCTGGCCTGACCTAAGACTTCTCTCCTGCTGTCCCAACCGCTCTGTATCTCAGCCCAAAGTGATCACTGGGCTCCTCTGAGAAAAGAACCCAGACTAATTTATCCTTAATATATGCAGAGAGAAAGTGATCTATAACAAAGTTTTCCAGAATGCAACTGACTCTACGTTAGTAAAAAGTCTGTATTCAAGATAGTTTCCCCCAAAATAATCTAGCACAATTCTATGTAACTTTAAGCTTTACAGTAAAAAGTAGTCAAATGAATTGTTAAAATTAGCAACAGAAAAACAGCACCCTATGAGTTGAAATGAAAGTTCCTCATTGGAAAGCACATTTGGGGGGGATGTTTTTTATACAAACAACAACAACAATAAATCATACTTACCACTGCTTTCAAGCCGAAGATGGAATCTATTAGCCATAGGAGCCACCGTGTATGATGTTACTGGACTATAGCCATTGTCCAAAGCCCACTTGATCAGACTCCCTTGGGTTGAAGGAATGTCATCTCTTTTTGATTTGGTCATTATCATAGATCTTTCACTTTCTTTCCCAAAGCCAATACTATTAGGAGCCTGAAGACAATAATAAAATTTCACTCATGAGTCTATAAAATTAAACAGTGCCTTAATACCTGAAACAAATAGATTCTCTACTGTGTATGAGCAAACTATTTATTCTTTTGATCCCTACTTTCCTTGGGCTAAGAATACTGATGTGAAAACTTGTAACAGCAGATTAAGAAATATCTATTCATGCTGACTGGTCACATCATTTGGGTTGCTTATGTTGATACAAATAACATAATCATTTTTGTCATTAGTGGATAATCTAATTATCATAAGCATGAATAGCATGTCACTAGTGTTAATGTTTAAATTATTAACACACACACATCAAATATGATACAAAACTTTTATTTTTATTTAAAGTTATATATTAAGTATACAGAAATGTATATGCTATATTATCTGAACATGCCTGTGTTCTGCTTTCTATGTTGTTGTTATTTCTACGTTGATGCTAAGTCACATCCAACCCTTTTGCAATACCTGTCAGGCTCCTCTGTCCAAGGGATATTCCTAGCAAGAATACTGAAGTGGGTTGCTATTCCCTTCTCTAGGGGATCTCCCCCACCTACGGATCAAACCTGCATTGGCAGGTAGATTCTTTACTGCTGAGCCACCAAGGAACCCTCTACTTCCTATATCCTAGAGTTAAATGAGAGAAGGCACAACCTAGTTACTTCACTGTGGAGACTATCCTATCTTTGTAAACTATGAATGCCACAGGGTGAAACAACCAAAGTCGATATTTCACTTATAACTTATGATCAATTTAGCAGTCCTGCAACTACAGACATTTGCCAGTTCTATTAATGGACTATGGTTAGATTTTATGGTCTAAAACATTAAGTAAGCCACCATGCCTCTAAGTACCAATACTTTTATCCCACAATACAAGTAACTCTTAAAATTAACTTTAATTTGGTAGTCAGTTAAAAATTAAAACTGAGTGACAGAAATCTTTCCACGAAAGAATATTGAAGGACTCTGAGTAATAAGAACATGGAAGGTAAATTTCACATTACACTCTGATCCTACTGCAGTGATCTTCTCAGATGGTGAGGGAGCTGAATGCTGCAGGGAATAGCTAAAGGGAAGTCACCACATTTTCAACATCTGTTCCTACAGGGCTGGAAGGCCCTTCTAGCAAGTGGATTACGCCATTTCATGCCGTATAAAAATCACTTTAATTTCCATGCCCAATTATTTTCTTCTGCATACATGCAGCATTTTTCCTAAATTCCCCATTTGTTTCCCATTCTGTTTGCCCCTAACATGACTAAATATTAATCCTTTCCCACTATAAAACCATAGAAGATTCGTAGCCTCTAAGTTCTCTTGGCCTCTCTGGTTGTGGGATACTGGCTGAGGACACACATTTTCAATTCAAAGCTGAAAGAATCTCACCCAGTATATTTTTCTACTACCCGAAGTGCTTATCAGATAAGCAAGTCACAATAATGCACGCAAAGGGACCAGAAAGAGCTTTAACCAAGTTCTGTAGCCATTAGCATAAAAAAAAAAAACAAAAAAAAACCCTCAGTTCCACAGATTTGGATTATTCTGCTCTTACTGGGATTCAGAAAACATTCCTCAGGGAAAGGGAAAGAAGAAAGAAGAGAGGGAGAGGAGGAGGATGGAAGGAAACTAAAATAAAGTAAAGAAGGATCCAATTAGTTCCTAGACCTTGTTACTCATTGAGTCAACAGCAGTTTTTTCAGCACAGCTTCTTCCGGGCTTTCAAGGCAGCCTGTCGTTTTGATTGGCTGGAGTTGCAACACTGGCCTAAACAATACTGCTTGGCCTCATCTGCCCTAGTCTTTCATGTTGTTGGACAGCTGAGAAAATACTGTATTTCCAGAATACTATCATCATAACTGCCACCTGTTCTTTTTGTAGCAACATGGAATGAGTTGTTTACACCTTTCCACATGAACACTAGGAGCTGTCAGCACAACTCATATTGATTACACCTCAGGATTTACAAGGCTAGAAATCTATCTATGCATTTGTAAAGCAGCAAGGTTTGGGACAATGGCAGGCAAGTTGGTTCTCAGCAATGAATGGGTTCCTTATCCTGTATTTCTGGGAGTCCCCAGGCTCCCAAGGCCTCAGTATAGCTACTCCATTAGGGAGTATTCAAGGAGGTCTCAAATACCACCGCCATCTTTCCCAGCCATATCTTCACGAAGGACAATGAGTTAAGTAGAATCTGGGTACCTTCCCCTCTCCCCACCATCCACACACCTGCATCAAAACTGCTGGTATCTGGGAGGCTGGGGGCTGGAGGAAAAGTCAGGCAGAGGGTGCAGTCCATATTCCCAATGGGATTAAAAAATATCTCTTCTAAGAATAAACTCACTATTTGCAAACTTGAAGCCCTGAGGCCCTATGAAATCATACAACAGAAAATTTCTAACAAGTTATCTCCATCTATTCTTTTATGTTTTGGAGTCTTTTCCAAAATGTGATTATGCATGGTCCATAAAGGCCCTGAATTAAAAGCCAGAGCTGGGCATGATGATGTAATATGGACACTTCTAGTAATCCCATCTGGCCCCAGCACAACCTTCTGTGTCTCTCTGGGCCATCCTGTCTTTTAGAGGGTTCATTCTGCCCACATCATATCACACACACACATATACACCCCACCTATGTTTAATGGTGCTTTTCTTTAAATTTGCCCCATCGAGTTCCACACAATTCCTTTAGTAGACATTTGTCTTTGTCTTCGCTTTGTCAATTGTCCCTACAAACTCTTTAAGAATTGCTAATAGAAGGAAGATAGGAACCTACTCCCTACCACCATCTTTTATGGCAGGCACTGTGCTAAGTGCTTAATATATGTTTTCTTATTTAATTCTACTCCAAAATATAAGGAGTAGGCACTACTACTCTTTTCTAGAGAAGAGGAACCTGAGGCTCACAGAAGTTAAGTAGTACATGTAGCTGAGAACTCACCATGTGCAGGCAATATGCTGACTGCTTTAGATGAAATACCCAGGGCACACTTAACAAATATTTGTTGAATGAATGAATGGACTCTGCTAAACCTCACAAGAACTCTCAAGGTGAGTATTATCATTGTATCCATTTCACAGGTAAGGAAACAAACTCAAAGTTCAATGAGATTGCCCAGGATCAACTGGGATAACAGCAATTGGAAATAGGATTTGAATCCAGACCTGGCTGGCCCCAAAGCCAGCATTCTCTCCACTCTACCTTTTTATTAGCAGGTAACTTTCCCTCCCAGCACAGTCAGAACTCACATCTGAGACGGGAGTTAAGAAATCACAAAGCATGAAACTGATTGGGAGAATAAAAAGGAACATCATGAAACATTACCTAATTGTTTAGTAATGTTGTCATGCATTGTCCAAAATTGGCCTGGAACAGGAGTACAGCCAAGGAGAGCAGTATAAACAGATCTTGCACTGAGATGAGCAATCTCTTTCTCTAGCCTCTCTGATTCATAGGAGAAGTGGGGACCTTCGGAGTGAACTCCAGGACTGCCCTGGACCAGGCACACATGCTCAGGGAGAGAAAGAGCCATCGAGGGGTCAGGGCCAAGAGAACATTTACACAAAAACTCCAGCAGGGAATTAAAATGTACCGTATGTTTTTGCCTTTCAAAGCATGATTCCCTTTCCTGTTTTTGTTATTCTGAAATTAAAAACATTTGGCTGGTGTGCCAGGCAGCAAAGGCTGCAAACAGCCCAGGTCACCAACACTGCTCATGCCACGCCAGGGAAAGCAATCACAACAGCTCTGACTTTAGAAAATCACTGCTGGGCTTTGTGCTCAATACCAAATTGATGTATCACCACTACACATGATGGTTTATTGGGATCCCCTAAAAGTTTAAAAAAAAAAAAAACCCACAGGAACCAGAAATGATTAAAATTAAGATGTGTGTGCTCATGGCTTTACCCACGGCCTCTGGCAAATGCTCGTACAGGATGTCGCCTAGGGGACTGTTGGCTCTGTTCACTGTGTTGTCACATAGAAGGTGCCCTGAATGAATAATACCAATGCCAAAGGCATCCCTCTCCCAAAACAGAAACCCACTGAAAACATAAACCCCACTCCCAACTGATTCAGTGCAGGCACTGAAAGAGGAACTGGCCACAGTTTTTTAAAAAGGCAACATACGGGGCAGGAATAGAGATGCAGATGTACAGAACAGACTTGTGGATACAGTAGGGGAAGAAGGTGGGATGAATTGAGAAAGTAGCATTGACACATATGCACTACCAACAAGTAAGACAGATAGCTAGTGGGAAGCTTCCCTATAACATAGAGAGCTTAGCCCAGTGATCTGTGATGACCTAGAGGGGTGGACTGGTGGAGTGGAAGGAGGCTCAAGGGGGGAGGGGATGTAGGTATACTGGAGGCTGATTCATGTTGTTGCATGGCAGAAACCAACATTGTAAAGCAATCTTCCAGTTTTTAAATTCTAACTTAAATTAAATTTAATTAAAAAAATTTTTTTAAGACAATGCACTAACATTTAAGCCCACAAAAAGAGATGCTGAAGATGTAATTGGGCTTCCCAGGTGGTGCTAGTGGTAAAGAACCCGCTTGCCAATGCAGGCTACGTAAGAGACAAGGGTTTGATCCCTGGGTCAGGGAGATCTCCCAGAGGAGGGCATGGCAACCCACTCCAGTGTTCTTGCCTGGAGAATCCCATGGGCAGAGGGGCCTGGTGGTCTACAGTCCACAGGGTCACAAAGAGTTGGACACAGCTGAAGCAACTTAGCATGCATGCATGCATGCAAAAAGATAATTATCTTTTTAAAAATGAGGAAGGGGAATTCTTCTTTAACTTTTAATATAATTTGCTGCGATATTCTGTCAAATAACTATCTCCCTAAATATACTTGGAAAAAATGTATTCCACCAAATTTCAACATTTAACTTTTCCAGAAATGAGCTGCTGTCTGCCCATCATGCCACCCAGTTAAACTTCTTGTGTATATTTCCTTCACAAAATAGAATGCTTAGGAAACAGGCTGGGCATACTTTTCCAGCATCATCTCACTAACCTGTACACAGTTGTAATTCTTTTATCAGGGTTTTATCCTTAGGAGCAAGCAAAAACACAAGCCAATACCAAGTATTTGTCTCGAAAAGAAAAATAAGCTGGAGTTAGCTCATTTCCCACATCCTTCATAAAGACCCAACCCTACAGTAAGAGTTAATATTCACAGCCATTACACTGAGGCCCCCATAGGATTCTCAGCCATGAAATGCTTGTGTTCACTGTTTTATACTTACTAAGACTGGAAATCCCAGGGACAGAGGAACCTGGCAGGCTACAGTTCAAGGGGTCACAGAGTACAATATGACTTAGCAACTAAACAACAACAGAAAGAAGACTGGAAAGCACACTAATACATTTCAGGAATTTCACAAATGAGGCTCGTGGGATCCAGAGAGGTGAAGGGACTTGCCCACGGTCACAGTTCATAGTGGCAGAGTCTGAACTTGAATCCAGGTCTGTACTGACCCCAAAAACCTTTTTTAACTACCACACGGCCTGTCCTTGACAGGAGAAGCCAAGGAGCACCCTGTTTTATAAAGTGAAAAATAATGGAGAAAAACTTCACAAAAATAACACATACGAACACAGCTTAAATTACTGCCATTCATCAAAACAAAGAAATGCTTAACCAACTTACAATAGCTTTCAGGTTTCCCTTAATATCAAAAGATTTGATCACCCAGTTGACAGACTTTTTGCATTTCAAGATCAGGATCAGATTTTTTACCACCTCAGGATCCTTCCGAGAAGGTCTTATGTCAATTATGATATCCACCTGGAAAGTACTGTGAGTGGAAAACAAAGGCAGAGTTAGGACCCAAATGCCAGAAAGTTGCAACTCCCCTCTTCCAAGTCTTCATGTTTCCAGTGTCTGGCCAGTTGATTAAAAAGCTGGAGTGGATCCCAGGCAAATGACATGTGCAAAACAGATTGTTTAGTGCACACATAACAAAATGATTTTACATAACAATAGAAAAATATGCCTGTGGTTAATTAGCCACTAAACTTTTTCTCTTCACTGGGGGAAAAAAAAGGTGGTTACTTCATGTGGCCACTGTTTGAAACTGGACTTGAACAAACCAGAAGAGTTTACTTTTGAAGCAGAATTGTTGCTTCTTCAGGCTCAACACCTTTGATATGTAACATTCTAATTTGTTATATCCTCAAAATCCTTCAAACCAGGAGTGGGTGGCAATTTGATGAGTGGAGGGTGGCAGGGTGGATGCAAGAGGGAGGCAGTAAAAAAAAAAGTTAGAAAACTTCAGAATAAAATAAGAGGCAAATGGCTAGAGCATTTCTTAACTTATATAAGGTTTGCTTAAGCCATTAACATTTGTTACAAAATCATATCTGCATTAACTTCCCCAAACTTCTGGAGATAGCTATTAAAATTAAAAAAACAGATGGTCAACCAAGTGATTATTGGAAAATTAACGAACACAATCCAAACTTCTAAGAATCCAGTACAAAAGAGAATTCTTACCAAATAATAACATCTCTGGCATTCTGGATTTAGAGGAAAGTCTTTATTTCCATCTTGGTTTTACACACGTGGAAAGCAAAAAATGAGTGATATATAGTACTCAAATGAAGCCTTAGGCCTAATACCTAGGTATACATGCTTCTATTGCTTCTAGTCCCATTCCCTTTTAATTTTCCACAATTCTTCACTTGGGACAAAATTTCCATTTTCAGTCTTACCAAAACTAATCTGTTGTTTATTCACTTTTGAAATCAAAGTTTGATTAGAATTTTAACTGCAAAATCCTTCTATAGTATAAATTAACAGCTTAACTCCCTAGTCCCTATGAAATGCAAGTGAAAGTAGGAGAAAGGCCTACTTTCTCCCTTTCCTTTCTTACATAAATTCCCTCATCAGTCTTGATAAAGAGAGTTAAATTTCCTGTCCTGGGCAGGAAGCTGAGAGTTGCAAGGATGCAGCAAATATCTAATAGCTCTCTGATGTGTCACCATAACGGGCCACTCCCCTGACACACATACACACACTCACTCACACATACAGTCACACGCAGCTTCAAACAGTTAGGGGCGCCTAAAGTGCTCTGAGGACACTATAAACAGAGATTTGTTTTTAAAAAAGTATATTGTTAAAATGATAACTATGCTAATAAGGCACACTTTGTAATTTTCTTATCAGGGATAACCTCAGTCATAGGTGATAATAATGGAGTAAGAGTATCTGTTCTATAACTAGTACAGTCCATCTTCTGTGTCTCCAGGTTCCACATGGAGATTTAACCAATCACAGATGGAAAATATTGGGGAAAAAAATTCCAGGAAATTCCAAAAAGTAAAATTTGAATTTGCTCCTTGCAGGCAACTATTTACATAGCATTTATATTGTATTTAATATAAGCACAAGCTGGAATCAAGATTGCTGGAAGAAATATCAATAACCTCAGATATGCAGATGACACCACCCAAGGCAAAAAGTGAAGAGGAATTAAAGAGCCTCTTGATGAAGGTGAAACAGGAGAGTGAAAAAGCCGGCTTAAAACTCAACATTGAAAAAACTAAGATCATGACATCTGGTCCCATCACTCCATGGCAAATAGATGGGGAAATAATGGAAACAGTGACAGACTATTTTCTTGGGCTCCAAAATCACTGCAGATGGTGACTGCAGCCATGAAGTTAAAAGACCCGTGCTCCTTGGAAGAACAGCTATGACCAACCTAGACAGCATATTAAAAAGCAGAGACATTGCTTTGCCAACAAAGGTCAGTATAGTGCAAGCTATAAGTGATTTTTCCAGTAGTCTTGTATGGATGTGAGAGTCGGACCATAAAGAAGGCTAAGTGCCAAAGAATTGATGCTTTTGAACTGTGGTGCTGGAGAAGACTTTCAAGAGTCCCTTGGACTCCAAGGAGATCAAACCAGTCAATACTAAAGGAAATCATCCCTGATTATTCATTGAAAGGACTGATGCTGAAGCTGAAACTCCAATACTTTGGCCACCTGATACGAAGAGTCGACCCATTAGAAAAGACCTGATACTGGGAAAGATTGAAGGCAGGAGGAGAAGGGGATGACAGAGGATGAGATGGTTGGATGGCATCACTGACTCAATGGACATGAGTTTGAGCAAGCTCTGGGAGATGGTGAAGGTCAGAGAAGCCTGGTTTGCTTCAGTCCATGGTCACAAAGAGTCGGTCACGACTGAGCAACTGCATAACAAATATTGTACTTACAACTAATTAGATAGTATTTACATTATAATAGGTATGATAAGTAATCTAGAGGCAATTTAAAGTACACAGGAGAATGTGTGTAGGTTATATGCAAATACTATGCCATTTTTATAAAATATTTGAGCATCTATGGATTTTGGTATTCAAGGGGGATCTGAAGACAGTCTCCTGCCAGTACCAATGGATGACTGTACCAAGAAGTTCAGATTATGCTTCAGAACTCATCTGGGATATATGGAATCTAGAGAGAGATCAGAAGATATGACACTGGTACCTTTACTGCTTTCTTCAAAGATTCTGTGAATATCACCCAACGTATGAGTCACTCCCTCCCTCTCACATGAGGGAGGGCTGAGCCTCTCCCTGCCTCAAGTCAGAATCATGTCACGTCACATCATGTCTTTGTTTTCATCTCTTCGTTCAGAAAATACACACCCACTCACACTCACTCACCTGTAGGGGTTAGAGTTGGGGGTGATTAACTCAATGATATGTACTTCCTTATCCTGGGGCTGGCTGGACATCACACACCCTTCTGCAGCTTTGGGCTGAAGGTACTCAGCAAGATAATTGAGGGAGAGAAAATTCTTCCCTATGTTGCACGTGGGAGGGAACACTTGATCTGAAAGTAAAAAAAAAGAAAGAAAGAAACACACACAATGAGCTATGTGGTAACCAGACTCAAAGGAGGGAAGGTAAGAGGGGCCCTGGGCAAGTGCAGGACACAGGGAGCCCCACGCTTCTGCCTGAAATGCTTCCTCTGTGGTCATCAGTGGGCTCCTACTGACCAAATCCAGTGGCTCTTCTGGTCTAAATCCTCTCCCTTCCTGTTTTTTTTTGATTCTGCTTTGTCCTCACCCATTTCCTCTGACCTGTCTTTCAGTCTCTCACGGGCTCTTCCTCTGCTCATCCTTTAAACATCTGTGGTCCTCAATCTTCAGTGCACATCAGAAGCCACCTGTGTGGACTCCACCCCGAAGAGTCCAACTCAGATCTAGGTGGGACCTAGAAGGCTTTCGTTTTGAAAAGCTCCACAGTTAATCCTGATATAAACCAAGGCTAAGAATATCAGTTCCTTCCTCAACTCTTTACTTCTTCTTCTTCTAGATGATCTCAATCACTCCCACAGCTTCAACTTATACCTAGACCATGACTCCTAAGTTGCACACCTGCACAGTCATCTGCCTACCAAGGACCTCCCACCTAAAAACCCAACAGCTATGTCACTCGGCATACTCAACACTGAATCCAATGACCTATCTATCCTATCCCCAAGGATGCTCCTCTTTGGATATTTGCTATTTCAATTAATAGAAGAACCAGAAACCTAAACAATTCTCTGGCCCACGCTGTAGAATTAATCATTCCTTCATATTTCTTCCTCAGAGTCATTTATACTCTAAAGACTGTTAGAGTGAGGGCAGACTTCCACTCTTTCTCATAATCTTCACCCAGACAATGAACGTTTATATGGCACTTTACAGTTTACAAGGTGCTTTCACAAATATTATCTCATTGTGCTGAGGACTGTTCATCACCTCCACCAGGGAAAGTGATGCACTTACAAAGAGTCCTAAGATACTCCCCCAAAGCACATGCTGCTTACACAGCACCATGGCTGATGGGATTTCCATCGAGCGGTTTAAATGTTTAAACAGAACTTGAAACTGCTGGCAGTATGACAGCTGGGACCAGTGTCAAGGAAGTTCTAGGTGCAGCAAGCTTTTTTCAGAAGGGGTAATTAATCAGAGACCTGGCACTTTAATGAAACAGACTTCTGCCTTTTTCATTTAATGGACAGGATGCCAGGGTTCAAATTCATATGCAAGTCTCACTTAGCAGTGAGGCCTCAGCCCAGGAGTTCCCCAGATTGGGTTGATACTGCCCACCCGACTGTGCAATGCCCCCTGGGCTGAAGTCTACAACACACATTGTGGCATTCTGGCTCCAGGCACCAGGGCATCCCCCACTGTCACCCCTAGAACAGGGGGGGCCAGGGGAGTTCACAGGGCCCCTGCTTAAAGGTTCACGTCAAGAAAGTGTTAGCTGTGCATTCTGTATTCTTCCCTAAAGACCCCCCTTAAAGAGGCCCAGGCTCTGCTGACTCTGGCTGCTGGAGCAGCACCCCCTCCACATCTGCTAAGGGTTTTGCCAGATGAGCAGAAGAAGAATGCACACCCTGCAGCTGCAGCCCTGCGAGCGCCTCCCCCAGATCACAGGACAGAAAGTGCTATTGGGGTGGCAAGGCTGAAACTTCATCAAGCGTCAGAGGATGGAGGCATGGGCCAGGGACAGGCCCGTCTGGAACTCAAGAGACAAGGACCTCCTCCTGGGACTCTGGCCTGTATTCCTAGTTCACAGATGAGCCTGGGGTGCATCTGGCACGTGGCATAGGTTTTCAGAATTAACAAATACTGGTGTGAGATTTGAGACAAGTAACAAAAAGCTCACCCACACTGTGACTCTCCAAAGCCACCAGGAAAGCTTTAATTGTTTAAAAGTTGCTGCTATTAAGGGCTTAAGTCCCAGATGCCATTGTCACTAAGGTGAGTAAGCTGATCACTTTTTGTTATGTGTGCATGCATGTATGTGGTTTTTTTTTTGCCCCCAAATGACCTTCCGCATGCCTGGCATCAAAACTTATACCAACTGCCAAGCAGAGAGGAAACCACAAAGGGGAATCCCCGGGTAGAAACCTGGCAAGTTTGGGGGAGGGGGGAAGTCACATGCTTATTTGTATTTTAGGAAAGGATTGACAAACCACTGTGAGAGCTAGAATAACATACTCGAAGAACCTGAGAGGTAATGTAAAGACCTCATTTTCCTGCTATGGAAACTGAGGCTCTGGTGGTAGGTAAATCAGAATGTTGCTCGAAGCCTCGCAGATAATAAGCCCAGCTGGGATAAGAACTGAAAGCCCTTAGTTCTTCCACTCTAAGCATATAGGTCAGAGCAGTAGTTCTCAAACTTTACCAAGTAATAGAAGCACCATGGGCTTCCCAGGTAGTACAGTGGTAAAGAATCTACCTGCATTGCTAAGACACTAGAGACTGAGGTTCGATCCCTGGGTCAGGAAGATTCCCCTGGAGGAGGAAATGGCAACACTCCAGTGTTTCTGCTGGGAAAATCCCATGGACAGAGGAGCCTGACTTCAGTTCATAGGGTCGTAAAGAGTCAGACACAACTGAGTGACTGAGCACGAATCACTCTACAGTGCCTGCTAAAACACAGATGGCTGGACCCTACCACCAGAGTTTTTAAGTCAGTTGGTCTGGGGTGGGCCCGAGAACCAGCATTTCTAAAAGTTCCCAGGTGATGAGGATGCTGCTAGGATGGGGACCACACTTTGTATAGAACAAGAAGAGGCCCATGGCCTAGGATCCCTAACTCAGCTGGGTAGAGACAGGTCAGGTTCTGGGAAACCGGCAGATGAGGTCTGCTCAGCAGAGTCTAATCCATGGTGATAGACAACAGCGCCTTGTGGTCCATCAACCTAGCCAAGGACCCTCACTTCCCCAACTGCTTCTCTCCATGGTGCGGGCCAGTATTACACCTGACTGGTGTCTGGAGTCAAGTTTTAGGATCTCCAAAGGTGTTGACAAGAAGTTAAAGTTTTTACTGGGCAGGACACAAGGTCCTTAAAGTTCTTCCCTGATCCAGTGTGCAGCCTTGGGGAAATCATGGAACCCCTCACTCTTGTTCATTGAAGATCATGCCCTCTTAAGAGAACAGAATAGAGCCCAACCTTCTACATGTTACCATAACACATGTTCTTATTCTAACAAATTCCAGGGAGGTAATCAATATCCAGTCAAAATGCACTAGAATCCTACTTCAAAAAGAAACAGTGGTCAGGGCTTAGAACCTTTATTAAAAGAGACGTTTTGTTTTGTCCCAGTGGGGCTTGACCTCTAAGATTAGCGACCTGAATACCACAAGAGTTTAATAACAAACTTCAAGTTTTTGAAACTTGCTCTCCTTTAAACTCCTCCTCCGTCTAGTCAACTAAACAAGCCTTTTCATCTAGGTAACCTACTTTTATGTTTGTTGTTGTTGTTCAGTCGCTAAGCCACGTCTGACTCCTTGTGACTTCATGGACTGCAGCGTGCCAGGGTCCTACCTCCTGGAGTTTGCTCAGATTCATGTCTCCTGAGTCAGTGATACTATCTAACCATCTTATCCTCTGCTTCTCTCTTCTCATTTTGCCTTCAATCTTTTCCATCATCTCAATGGGCTAAGACTTAAAATGCATCGTCAGGCAATAAGCATTAGACTCAAAGGTCAGAAAACCTGAGTTTGAGTTCTAGTTTTGTCACTTGCTAGTAATAATGTGGATTTGAGCAAGTTAGCTTAACCCTCCATTGACCCCTCTGCAAAATGGTCGAAATAATGGTTTCCTCCTAGGATTACTGGCAGGGGTTAAATGAGGGTGCATGTAGAAATCCCCTGATACAGCCTCTGCGCACAGCACACACTCAACATCAGTGTCCTGAATCTATCAAACATCCCAGATCCGGAAAAGGGCTGGGAATAAGCATTCAATTACTCACTCATGCTTCCACACAGTCTATGATAGAGGAGACAACTGCTGTAGAATTCAGAAGAAAGCAGATGGACCCAGAGGACCTGAAATGCCATTTTCACACAATCACCTGACTGAAACAAGGGCCCATTCACAAGAGTTGTTATTTCTAGTAACTTACTTGGGAGTTCCAAATATATTCAACTAAAAATAATGATAAAGAAGTTATTTGAGAAATAATGTACTTTCAAAATTGAGTCACCAGATATTTATATCCCTCTGCAAGGCAAGGAAATCAAAATAGGCCATTTCTTATCAAGGCTAAACAGCTCCTCCAATAATTTGTCCTTGTAACAAGCATTCGTATTAAAAATATATTCAAACACTTTTCCTCTGCTATTGTCCAAAATTTAACTGGTGTCTCGAGGCCAACGCTGACACTGGCTTTAAATGTTTGCAGAATAACAGGCGGGAGGAAGCTCTAACTGCTGACTCACCATGCTAACTCTCCTGCACTCCGTCAGTTAGCCCTTCCTTTCCCACACCTCAGCTTGTCAGCCTCCACGCACTTCGGACTTCTGTGCCTGGGTGTCTTCTAAATTCTACACAACAACCTCCTCCTCTCTCAACCAGGCTACTCCCCACTTTACCAGGCCTATCTCCTCAGAAGGAAAAAGGGAAGAAGAGGATGTGGTGGGGAGCGGGCCCCAGCGATCCCCCAGGTCCCTGCCAGCTCCAACAATCTGTAATTCTCTGATTCCGTGCCCTAGCCACCTGGTCTCCGAAAAGAAAACAACTGTCTGTCATAAATCGGTCATTAATTAAGACCACACAGAATTTACCTTCCCCCACTTTAATATAAATGTTTCTTGCTATCTTGAGTTCAGTGAATGAAGTGACCGCTCCATATTCCTTTCTGGCCCAATTTAACAGATGTTCGTTTCCATGGGGGAAGCGCCTTTCTTCTGTTTCTGCTGACAAGGAGAAGTTTCTTGATGAAAAATGGACCAGAGAACCTTCAGACACCTAGAAGAAACAGAGTTGCATATTTAATGTGGTGCAGTCACCTGGAACTAAATCATTATCAGAAAAAGCTCTTGTCAGACAATGAATAAGTATCTGTCAATCTAACTTCTTCCTTTTCTTACACAATGGCAACATCTTTCTTCAGCAGCTCATGCCTACCTTCTTCCAGGTAATGACAAAACTGCAAATAATGCAGGACGTCCCTTTGAATTCTTAAAGAACTTTGTGATGAGAGATGACAGAGTGCATTGTGAGGAATCATAAGACTTCTCAGCGCTATTTTCCAGATATCTAAATTGAAGGCCAATCTTTCAAATAATGTGTTTCAAATCAAATAGGAAGCCTTGGTGAATGTTTTCATGGACTTGTAACAGATTAGGAAAAGTGATCCCAAAGGCTTGACCTCGATGTCCACATCTGCCACAGCTGCAGCCTCTGCCAACAGTCGCCACCACGGGAACACAGCGAGAGTCCCGTTGGTTTACTGGCTCCTGAGCACCGAGATAAAATATGACCAGAGCTGGCCAGTCTTCTACCACTTTACACTACTTCCTCGCAGTGAGATGAATGTGTATTACAGTTTATTTTGTAAGACCCCCAAATTCCCATAGATAATGAAGTCAAGAGGCTGTCAGATTGATCCTCATAAAATGTCTGGGATGATTTATGCAAGACTCAATATTTGCTTGGATGTATTTAGACTGCTGACCTAGCATATCATGGTATATATAATTAACACAGACAAAGGGGGAAAATTATCATCTAGCTGCTACACTATAATTAAATTCATTTGCTGGTGAAAGTATGCGTGTCATCTTTATTGTCCAGCAACTGATTTTATCAGTGTCAAGGTGGGACCTCAAAATGTGAGCAGAAAGGCTCAAAACCTCCCAAGCCACAGAACTATAAATGTTTTGTATTGAATTTCACACTAACAAGAGAACTACCATGTGATCCAGCCACTCCACTTCTGGGTATTTACCCGAAGAAAATGAAAACACTAACTTGAAAAGATATATGAACCCTGCAGCATTATTTACAATAGCCAAGATATGGAAATGACTTAAATGTTCACCAATGAATGAATAAAGATGTGGTGTATATACACGATGGAATATCTTCAGCCATGAAAAAGAATAAAATCTTGCCATTTGCAACATGAATGGACCTCAAGGACATTATGCTAAGTGAAATAAGTCAGATGGAGAAAGACAAATGCCAAATGATCTCATTTATATTTGGAATCTACAAACAAAACAAAAATCCAGATTCACGATACTAAGAACAGACTGGTGGTTGCCAGAGGTGGGAGACAGGGGATGAGATGGGTGAAGGGGGTCAAAAGGTACAAACTTTTGGATTTCCCTGGTGGTTCAGTGGTTAAGAGTCTGTCTTGCAGTGCAGGGGACACGAATTCCATCCCTGATTGGGGAACTAGGACCCTACAGGCTGTGGAGAAACTAAGCCCAAGCGCCATAACTAGAGAGCCCATGTGCTGCAACGAAAGATCCCAAGTGCCACAACTAAGGCCCAATGCAGCCAAATAAATAAATAAAATAATTTAAAAATACATATGTATGTAAAAGGTACAAACTTCATGTTATTAAAAAAATACGTTATGGGGATTTAATGTACAGCATGGTGACTATGGTTAGTAATATTTATTGCATATTTGAAAGTTGCTAAAGACCATAGAAATTAAAAGTTCTCACTATAAGATAAAAACTTCTCTACATATGTTGACAGATGTTAACTAGACTTATTGTGATGATCATTTTACAATATATACAAATATTGAACATTATGTTGAACACCTGAAACTAGTATAATGCTATATGTCAATTATACTTCAATAAAAAATGTTTTCATGTTAACTATCATTAACACAAAGCAAGCAGTTTCTGAAGTGGTTACAGCCAGGTTAAAAGCAAGTTGAGGGCAGGGATTATGCTTATGGCTCTACCCTTGCCAGCAGTGTTTTCAAACTCAACACACATACAAAACAGTCGTTGTTGTTGTGTTTAGTCATTCAGTCGTGTCTGGCTGAACATGACTTTGCCACACCATGGACTATATAGCCTTCCAGGCTCCTCTGTCCATAGGATTTCCCAAGCAAGAATACTGGAGTGGGTTGCCATGTCTTTCTCCAGGGTATCTTCCTGACCCAGGGATAGCACTCTTGTCTCCTGCTTGGCAGGCAGATTCTTTACCACTGAGCCACCTGGGAAGCCCCATATAAAATAGTTCTTACCCTTAAATACTGTGCTAGGCATTAATATTTTCTCTTCAACTATATATACTTATACTTTTTAAATGCTAGCAAAGAAATATTTCACCCCATTGACTCCATCACCGACTCATGCTGTGGTCTCCCTCTTGGCTGAAAACCAGAAGCATCTGAGGAGTTTCTAAATATCCTGAGACCCAGGCCACACCCCCCAATCAACTAGAATTTGGGAGTGGGAGCCAGGCATCAGCATTTTTTAAAGCTTCCTGGACAATTTCAATGTTCAACCACAGTTGAGAAGGCTGGCCTTAATGGGTACTGAGTGTCCACAGTTTGAAAAGCCCATTATGGGCACCTCACAGCTTTCTCTACACCAGTGGTTCTTACCAGGGGTTATCCTGCCCACCAGGGAACATGCAGCAACGTCTGAAAACAGTTTTGATTGTCACAAACAGGAGGGAAGAGCTACTGGCATCTATTGAATAGAGGCCAGGGACGCTGCTAAACATCCTAAAATGCACAGGATGGCCCCCATGACAAAGAATTATCCTAAATGTCAACAGCACCACAACTGAGAAATCCTGGTATATGTATGCTTTGGACTGACCAAATGTTACTGCTACTCGAAGAGCTACTGGTTTCTCAAATCGGATCACCAAATTGACAGCTCTTTTTATCCTAAAAATTGGGCCGCTATGTGCTTTACAAAGAATAATAAAAACTTTCTGGTTTGTATTGGCTCAGGAAACCCAGAACTAATCATTAAGAAGCTGGGTGTAAACTATGGCCACCTATAACAGTGACCACTTATTACACCTACTGTGTATCAGGCACTATAGAGCGCTACCAAATGTGGCAATGACATTTGCTACACGTCCCAATGCCAGTTATAAACAAAACCACTGGGGGAGCATTTAGCGCTGACCTTGTTTTGACGTCGCCTGCATAAGAAAAAGCTCCTGAGCCATCTACCTGCCAACAACAACCATGCCAACCTATTCATAAATCCTCTGAAGCTTAGCTACTCATCAACACTGAACTTCAGACAACACTTATCTGATTTTCTGACTTAAGCACTGCAGTAAAATCATCTTTCCACTAAAAAGCACTTGTACTAAAAAGTCACTTTTATCAAGCCTGTCACCGCAAAAACCCACAACAGTGCAGAGGCCTTTGTCCCACTGCCAGCACAGTTCTGAATGTTTAGGCAAGCCTGCCTGAATGTTCCGTTCTTTCCTTTTTTCTCATTCATGTTACAACCATAAAATAAAACACTAGGGCTTTAAATATATTATGCAGAGAGTACATTTCTTCAGAGTTGAAGGTGGGATAGATCACCCTGGTGCATTCCAGAGGCAAGAATGTGAGCACTGTAAATAAGAGAAGAAATGGGGAGCAACCTGGGAATGTGTCCTGAAGTCATTAAAAGCGATGCCATCGTGGAGCTGACTCCTCAAGAAGGCGGAGCGCCCTTCACTCACCATCTGCCCCACTTGTCTGGCTTCTCCAGGGCCAGCAGCAGCACAGATCACACACTCAGGGCTGAGGAATTTGGAAAAGGAGTCAACTGCCACTCCTCAGGCAAATTCCAATGTGAAGAAAGCAAAGCTGCCAGGGGCAGTGAAGCGTCCCTGACTGCAGGTCAGTGGAAATTTTCTGCCGCAGCAAGGGGTTAGTCAGCGCTCCTCCTGACCACCCATTCTCTGACTTGACACAGCAGCTCACACACAAAGGCCTCCCCTGAGCCCCACCAAGTTTTACAAGGTGTGGTTATTTCCACTTGATCTTCAGGATGACCTCTGATGCAGGCTACTCTGATTTCCATGGAGAGAACCTCAGAGAAGCTAAAGGCCTACCCAAAGTCAGCACCCAGGCCGGATCAGAACAGGCCACTTCTGACTCCTGGTCACAGCTGGCCCTGCCTGCACCCTTCCAGAAAGGAGGCTTCACTGGCTCTCAAAGCAGGAGATGTCCCTTCTTACTTTTACTTGCCTGTAAGATTAGCCTTCCACCCACTTGTCTGAGCTGGGCTTTCCAGAGCAAAGAATCCCTTCCTCTTTCTTCCATGAGACGAACCTTCAAATGTTTGTAGATATCACTCAACCCCGAGCACCACTTCACTTCTTGAGGGCAACAGTCCCAACTCCCTGGACTCCTTCCCAGACAGCACAGCTGTCATATCTTCATCAGCATAATCTCTGGAATGTGGTGCCTGGGACGAGACCCAGGGTTTGCGGTGTGGTCTGACGAGAGTACTGTGAAGGCTAGCTTCAGGTGTCAATGTGATTGGGCTACAGGGTACCAGTTATTTGGTCAAACATTACCATGGGCATTTCTGTGAGGGTGTTTTTGGATGAGATTAACATTTCTTTTTAATTTCATTTATTTTTGGCTGTGCTGGGTCTTCACTGCTGCACGTGGACTTTAGCTGCAGCAATCAGGGGCTACCATTTGTTGTGGTGCACAGGCTTCTTGTTGTGGCGGCTTCTCTTGTTGCAGAGCACAGGCTCTCCTCGTCGTGGTACTCGGGCTCAGCAATTGCAGCTCACAGGGCAGGCTCGGAATTTGTGGCACATGGAATCTTCCCAATCCAGGGATCGAGTCCATGTCCCCTGCACTGGTAGGAGAATTCCCAATCACCTAACTACCAGGGAAGTCCAGAATTAACATTTAGATCAGTAGAGCAACTAAAACAAATTGCCCTTCCCAATGGGTGTGGGCCTCACCCAGTCAGTCGAAGGCCTAAATAGAGTAAAAGGCTGACCCTTCCCCT